AAAACTAAACCCACTGATGCACCGTGTGACCCTGAATCATCAAATCACTGATGTTTAAATATAGTAGATGTTTGGAAAAAATATTTTTAAATACATTTTGTTTGTTAAAAACAAAAGGTTGACTTACAGTGTAGGAGATCGGCTCCTCAGCCTCCCGAGAGAGGACGTGCGTGAACAGGGCGCACAGACACACGCAGATGCTCAGCATGTCTGAAGACGACAGTTGCGGGACGCAGATGCACGGACTGCACGTGGAGAGAAGATGCGAGATGATTTCGGTCTTTTCTCCTCTTCTCTGCCGAACAAGCCTGCATAGTTTAATAGCACTTGTTACATCACTGATGGCATTACTGAACGGGTCTGAACGCATCCCCCTGCTGGTCTGATGTTTGTATTGGCGCAGCTCCAACTTAAATCTGCGACTTCAACCAAGTCAAGTGTTTTGGGTTTTTTTTTTTCTGCTGTTTTTCTCCTAAAGGATTAGTGCGTAATGCGCGCAACCGTCGTGCGTAAACATGCCCGTGTTGTCAGTCCTGTCAGCCCGGTGAAGCCGTCCGTCAGCAGACGATGCTCACACGGATATGAGTTTATTCAGAAGTTTGTTTTCCTGGTAAATTCTTCGTTTGGAGTCACAGACACGTGTGACCGGAGCATCATCAGACATGAACAATCAAACACCAGACCCTGATCTCAGTGACTTACCTGCAGGTACCTGCGGATCTCCAACGCTCCTGCTGTGACACTGGAAGTTGTTCCTGTGTTTGCGCGTGCGTGCGTGCGTGTGTGTGTGTGTGTGCAGCCTGCTCTGAGTACTGTCCCACAAAACAGCGCAAACGGCGGCTCTCAGAGTCTCAGAGGTGTGTGTGTGTCAGAGAGTGTGTGTGTGTGTGTGAGTGCAGGCAGCACTTGTGATGAACATGCGGTTCGTACAGTATGACATGCTGGAGGGTTGGAGGAGGAGTGGGGGGAGGTGGGGGTGAACCGGGCAGGTTCAGCTCCGGGTTTGTTTCTTCAACAGCAGGCTGCAGTGAGAAAAGAGCAGCCAGAGAACAGTGGCTCCCCCTATGGACTGAGCACCAGGTTTTTTTCCCCTTCTTAACAGAAATCATCGTGAAACTTTTTAGTTAAAAAAAAACTTTACTCGTTATTGCATGTTATTGCATGCTTCAATCATGCAGGAATATTATTGTCTGTCCTGATGTCCAAACTTCAAACAAAATGCAACAAAATGCAACATATATGTCACAAAATGGTGTCATTAAAGACACATTTAGGCCAAGCTAACATTAACAGAAGAAAACACACACGTCACCTCTTTAAATCTCAATACATTACAATAATGGTTCTCAAACCTGGGGGCGTGCCCTACTGCAGGAGGAGGCGATTGTGCTGCCATGTAATTGTGTTGTTTTGTTCAAACAGAAAAGCATTTTTTTTTCAGAATAATTTAAATCCAGTGAAGCTCTGAATTTCTGAGTATTTCACTGCAGAATGCTTTGGATTTCTGAGTATTTCACTGCAGAATGCTTTAGTCATGTGCAACCTCTGGATCAGGGCCCAGGATTGGGACGCAGGTTATGCACTTTTTGCAGATTTTGTACTGTGTTTACCTTGATAGGCTGTGGTTTACTTTACTTTATTATTATTGACACTTTAGCATACATGAATCTAAAAGGAAGGGCGGGCATTTTATGAATAGTAAACATGCTATACATGGTTAAATGTTAGCAAGAATAGAGCTTATTGTTTTCCCCTTCTAGCTGCTGTATATGTATGTTTTTTTTCCAGTTGTGTAATAATTACAAGGTAAGATGGAAAATGATGTCAAATTATATATCCTGCTGTCTGGTGTTTACTCTTAAAAACCTGTCATTTTAACAGGGATGTGTAATCGTTTTACCTTCACTGTATGTGTTGGCGAATAAACTGTCCTCATGCACAGCTGCCTTTTTTGAAGTGTTACAGGAAAAGCCTGAGTATTTTGTTGACTGCGTTCATTTCAAGAAAGTCCGGACAGTGTGACAGCTCACTGCCTGAAACTGAGGACGAGAAATGGAAGGTGGCCATCAGGACTTTGATCAAACTCCTGGGCTTTCCCTAAAGTGATGTGTCCAAATATGTATCATGCAACAGGACTATTGATTGACCTGCAGGCTGTTGGTACAGACGTGATGTAAAGCTGATAAAATCAGATTCTAATCTGGTGGTGAGTTTATATTCCAAACACGCCTGCGTTACTCTCGGGGTTGTGACACGCCGGCACTTCACGCTGTGAGATTTCATTGCTTGTGCACGGAGCTTGCATTGTGTGTGTGCAGCAGGTGGTAAAATCATATCATGTGTTAAGTCCTCTGTCAGCAGCCACTACATTAGCCTGAACATTTTGTGGTGTTTACAAGATGCCTGTGCTTCAGGAACATCTGCTGGAATTGGCAAAGGTTCCTGGTTTTCCCATGGGTGGAGAGACAGCAAAAGATTGCATTATTTTGTGTGTGTGTGTGTGTGTGTGTGTTTGCACTCGTGTACACGTGCCAACAACTTGCTGATATGAGTGGATTGAGATGGACTCGGTACCACCTCCTCCAACGCTGACCTTCTTTACAGGGTGGGGACGACGGGGGGCGACTGTGGACAGATTCTGTAGGTGCAGCATTGAAAATCGTTTCATAACATAAAAAATATATATAAAATACAAACTGTGTTTAATCTTGGTCCTGGGATCAGCACATGTTCTCCAGTTGTTCTCCTGCATTAGGTTTACTCACATGGAAGAACACGGAACACGACAGGAAACATAAATACAGTAGATGAATAACTACAAACAGGGACGGCCTGCACTAATGTTTGCTCGGGTTCAGAAAGTTTGCTGGCACGTTGTCAGCGAGGACATTTTGATAGAGCACTTGATGAATAAAAGCCATTCCAGCATAGGATTACCAGAATAATTTATCCAATCCTAATGAAAGACGAGATGACAGAATATTCCCCTTGGTTCTATTTCCCGGTGAAACAAAAGGAGAAGATTGTGCCTGCAAATCGAGGCAAGAGAGCAGTGGGTGTGTCCCCCTGGGTGCATCTCCAAGGTGTGAGGAAGTCTCCGCAGCGGTGTTACTGTAGTCAGGCGGCGTGAACACGCACTCAAAATAGTATTTTTGCTTAAAAGCAGAGGGGGAAAAAAGCAATAATTTTCACTGAAATGAGCCACAGGTGAAGAGAAACAGGACACCAGATAGAATAACAGTAGGATTTAATGTCAGAGTGATAGATTGGACCGTGGCTTAACATAATTACAGCCCTGAGTTACACAACACCCCTGTGATCCACATTACACAATCCCCAAACCCACAACAGTGCACAACATACATGTACACAAACAGTCTATTGCTGCAGTAACCACGATGCATCTGTACGTGAAGTACAACGACGAGCATTAGGCTTTAGAGGAGAAATACTAGCAATACTAGCACGTAGTACTGTTCAAAGAACAAACAAAAAAAAATCTTGACCAAGTTGTTCCACTACATACAGCCCTGCTTCTATAAGGCTGACCTCTAGGGGCAGGATGTGAGACATATTATAACAAGTCCAATGCAACATGTCTTTTCAATTAATGTGACCCTGCAACTATGACTGCTGTCAGTCATGTCTGAGGATATACTGCCCATGTTGCATAGTACTTGTAAGGACAATCTAAGTCAATGACCAAAAACATTATATGATAAATTAAAATAGTAGGATTACTCAGGTTACATCAGATCATATTTTCTCTTCACTCAGGTTACGTCAGATCATATTTTCTCTTCAGACATTCTCCTTAAACCGTGAAAGAGTTTTAGCCATAATTATAAATGTCAAACCTTTTTTTTTTATGGGTAACATGCTGGTTCAGTGCATTTTTGAAAGCCAGTTGTTTTTGATGCTTCTTTCGATGCTGAAGGCAATGCATCAGGCACTGTTGGCTATTGAGCATCAGCCAATCAGTTCCTGATGCAGTACCATCCACATCAGAAAGCTCTTCTTCACCCCAACATCACTGGGGGGCAATAAATGCTCCACGCTGCGGAAAACATTTCACCCCTGCTTCCCCACCGTCTCCCCTAATGACAAGAGTATAGATAGAGAAATAAAGCCATAAGTGCAGGCTGTCCCCTTGATTAAACCATAATACAATAGTCGATACAGTACAGTACACATCATTGTAAGTCAAGTTGGCAGCAGAAGCATCTGGAAAGTAAATTCATGCAAATTTGAAATGGACATGCATTATGAAGGAGCTGCAAGAGATGAGGCTGCACTTCAAAAGAGTGTCGAAAAGAAATTTTTTAACTGGTGGGGAAGGGGGGAGAGGAGAGGAGAGGCAGACAGCGAGGGTGTCTGTGAGACGCACTTGTGTAATTGCAGTGACATCTTCATTGAGAGCCCTCCATCTCTTTCCTGTGCGCTCCAAAGGGTGTTGCTGACGCCAGTCGATGGGGAGAGCAGCCGAGGCGCTGTGTTTAGCATAATCCCAGAGGCCATTGTGAGAGCAGCTAGTGAACGACTCACAGTTGCCAGCTGAGATTTCACCAAAACACAGCAGAACACAAGTGGAAGGGGATGCGATAAGAACACGAGGAGGAGAGTGGGCCACGGCAAAGAGAGGGAGAAGGACTGGTAGAAAACCAGTCATTACACTACATCAAACCTGCTGTAATTTATAGCCCCGCTTTTTTCCACAGGGAGGTCGACGGGGTGGTTTGCAGGAACATGGTGGTTGTGGTTGTTCTGTGGCGAGTGTGCAGCTTTGCACAGCATCAAAGGGGCAAAGTATAGAGTGTGAAACATGCCGTCGTCCAGGTGGACTGCACCTGTTGGCCCTCATTCAAGGCTGTAATTCAATAATCCCCCCCCCACACCCACCTTCTTTTACCCAATCACCCACTGTTTTGACTTGCATGAGTCAAACATTAAAAAAGATGAAGCAGAACTGCCTCATGGCATCACTAATTCTCTTGGGCAATCGTCATTATCCAGAGCCAGACTGAGCGTTGCACTTTGATCGACAGATTTTGGGTTTTTTTTGTTTTTTTTTTGGTGCCAACCTTAGGTAAACAGTTTGGTTCTTTAAACAAGCTGCATGATCAGACGTGTAGAGAGTGAATAATATAGGGTATGGAAGGTAAAAAAAAAATACCAAAGGAACATTTCTCAATATGAAGTTAACTCTGCTGGTAATTATGAGTTTTGTAAGAGGTCAAGAACAATTAAAGGTGGGAATATTTACCAGTGAAGGAACCAATAGTGGGCATAAATTAACAAGTTCAAAAAGTTTCATATTCTAAAATAAACCTTTAATGTGGCAGTTCCGATAATCTAAAGAAAGATGTTTTTTTATTTTGATTTTGGTTTTTTTTTAGTGGGTTTTTCTGAGGTAAACTGCAGAATCTCTCCAGGTGATTGTGAGAATATAACTCAGCATCACAGTTGCCTGCAGAGATTACACAGTCAGCCCATTGGTTCACCTCACACACACACACACACACACGGGTACATGTAACATCTACCAGTCAAATGGCAGCAGATGGTTAACAAAGATCAGAAAAAAGACCCAGCTTTGACCCTGCACCCCCACCGTTTCTGAGCGGTCATATGTTCCCATGGCAACAGGACCAAGGCACGTGCCTCCCATTGTTGAGTTGTATCCTCCAGGGTCAGCAGCACACCCAGTTAGAGGTCAGATGTCAGCCAGGCCTCTCGCTCAGGTCACCACTCACCAGCTTGTAGCCTTTAACCCCAACAAGCACTGGAACAAATGGAGAGATGTGGAGAGAAAGAAGGACATGACAATGTTTACTCAACGATTCTCCGTCATCACGTGACCACAAATAATCCCACGTAATAGTTTTAACTTCTGTTGTGCTTTTGGAGAAACAGATCAGCAGTGAGGAGAGTGAGGGCAGAGTACAGTACGAGGGAGGACCGCTGTGACGTTACTGTATGTCTCCCTCTTGTGGATAAAGATGGATGCTTTAACGTTTCACGTCATATGGAATGAAGAAAAGGATTGTAAAATACAGTCTGAAATGGTCATTTAATTAATCATAACTACAGTAGTTATGTTAATAGAAAATATGGTTCAATCTTTGCACAATTCTTTCTAAATTCCCTTTGTTGTGTCTAATATTGTGAACTGTAGTAGAAGACAAAGTAAAACTGGCGCTTGAAAAATATTTTCTCTCACATATTCATGATGCCATCCTCCTTGTGAATTGCATTCAAAGGCGCGACTAACAAAACACAAGTGCAATTTCACAAAAATAGTTCAATTACTGCTAATGTTTTTATACTAAATTCAGTGATGTTACATCCCAACTGTGTGTGCAGTCCATGTACTGTAAACACAAAGCTACATTTTCAGATAATCAGAATTTTACTGTCCATGTGCGCATTTGATTTATCAGAAAAATATTTTATGATAAAACTTCAGTGTGTATAATATTTAGTTAAGGCCTGAGATTACAGAACATCATGGCATTTTTAAAAACTCTTTTCCCAGCGATGCCATTTTTCCTCTTGAGTCCAGATGCATGTTTGGAATATTCAGGTCACCGAGTTGCAAAGTGTTGCTCGGGCTTTGACAAAAGAAAAATCTTAAGTTTATTAAACGGAACAGGCTGAGAGTCCACACTTTGTTAGGCAGTGAGTGAACAGAGTGGTTTTGACAGGCCTAACCTCTTAAGCTTTGGGTCCCACTGAGCTGGGCGCAGCTAGAGCTAAATGCCATCTGTCTCAACATCATGTGGCCCCCCTGTTCTGTCCCGTCCTGTCCCACAATACTTCAGTGTAAAAATGTACTTAAGACTGCAATTAAAAAAAATAAACAGATAAAGATATTTTATTTTATGACATTCTTGTAGTTATAAAACTGGTTCACCTTTGCTCTAAGGCATTTTTTTTTCTGTCAATCCATTTTAGCTGAAATGCCACGAAAAGCGCCGGTTGTTCCTGTAAACCTGCATTTGGTTTTCAACATAAAGGCGCAGGAACTATGGGGTCATCGACACGACAGCTTCCTCTGCTGATAGGCATAGCAAAGGCCTTGAGTCAGAGCAGCCTTGAAGTGTCGTTGATCCTAAGTACGCCTAATAAATCGTTTCAAATTACGGTGGAAAATTTACAATCCATTGTCTGTGGCCTATGGCAGGTAATGAAAATATTTTAAGATTTTTTTGGGGGTAAGTCGTGCTAACTGATGTCGCCTCACAGAGGCATAAAACCCAAAGAATGAATCTTGATGGAGGAAAACTGATGCTTTTTCTCATTAGGGACCGGGATTTTTCTTACTGTGGAAGAACATTGGCTGCTGTAATTGACATTTGTTTTTCAATTGAAGAATGGCCCAAAGAAAAAAAATTGTCATTCCAGAGAGTCAGAGGGTGTGTCGCTCCAGATTGTGCACAAAGCACTGATTAAAATTCCAAGGAAAATCTATGGAGTAAAGTGCAGACCGGGAACACAACCGTGCGCAACAACTCAACTGTACTTTTTGTGTTTGTCAAGCGTCTCACTGTGACTCACCGGTGACTGCTCCGAATTCACCTTTGAACACATTTATGTTACGCATCACTGACTTCTACATGCAGCACTGCACAACAATGGAACGATGATGTCACCGTTTAAACTTTTTGTCTCAGCTCCTTCACCGTGCCGTCTGCTTCGTTAGCTGTCATGTAACGTTAGGAGCAAAAATGACCTCTCTGCCCTGCAGCCAACATGTGTGTGTGTGTATGTGTGTGTGTGTGTGTGTGCGCGCCACTCTAGCATTTCATTAAGACGCTCGGACCTTCACTGTACAAGCAATTGTCTTGTTCTAACAAAAAGCCTGACGCATCGCATCAGTTGGAAGTAAATTTATCAAAGGAGGTCGATACAATAGAGAGCGCATGGACAAATTATGAAACAAGTCTTGCGGAGGCCTCCTGCTGAGACATATTGTTCTTTTTGTTTATAGTCCAGATCGGACTTAATAACACAAGGTGACAAATGGATTCAAAATAGTGCTGTGTGTGTGTGTGTGTGTGTGTGTGTGAAGTGTATATTCAGAGGAATATTGATGTGTGATAATGTGAACACACATGGACCAGGGTGTGTGACGTGTTAGCGTGCACACAGCCACACAAAACCCAAAGACCTCTGAGGTGCACGCTGCATAAAAACAATTGGGATCTTGGTGAACTGATGTGACATGTGTGTTTGTCTCAGGCCCATCCGTTAGGAACCCTACAGTAGAGGTGAAAGAAACAAAAAAAAAGAGAAAAGAGAGAAAAGAAAGAGGTGGAGATGTCGTCGAAATGAGGGCACAACTGGTAAGTAATGAGTGAACAGCATTGATCTGCAACGATACAAGGTGAAAAAGATCAGAAAAAAAAAACAGAACACATTGATTTTACTGTGTCATCAGTACTAAAGAGTAACATCTGGTCCGTCGGATTCATTTAGATTTATTATATTTAAAATGATTTACACCTTTTTTACAGAGAGAACATTTTCTCTTAGTTAGAAGAAAAACTGCTAAAATACAGCGTTGGTTGAACGTTCATGATCTGCCGGTGGTCAAATGATCCAACGAGACCAGATTCTGATGACATGAAACACTCATTCCAGGCCACTGGTTGTCACCCATTCAGACTGGCTGCCATTTCCTCGCTGCCAGATGAAATGGGCCGATGACGCATCAAAGCAACGACTCCCTTCACCGTATTTACATCCCATCTCAGTTATTGGAAACATAATTCCTCCCTGTGTCTTGTATCACCCTAACACACACAGACGCAGTCGACTACAATTACAATTTTGCATGCTCCAGTGTATCCGAGTAATTTCCTACTGTTTAAGTGTGAATTTATGTTCCATGGAAATGAGTGGGGAGTCGATGGAGGCCAATTGGAGGAATGGCCTTTAGCCAGGGAGCGTTTCAGTGAACGGCTCTGGTCATATTAGGATCCTTGTTCATCACTTCCTTTTAACAAACACCAGCACTGAATGACTTCTCATTAGACTTCCGTAGCTGTATGAATACAGTATCAGCCATTTTCCCTCCGCATGGCGACTGGGCGGTAACTCAGGACAACTCCTAAAAACACACACACATCCATACTGCCTGGACACACTGCACCATCTTTGTGATTTCTGTTAGAACAACGTCACTTGGATGTCTGGAAAAATATCATTTCAGGTTTTCTTTTCTTGCATTTTTGAATTGTGGTATAAAAATGTAAATAAAAAATAAAGTGGATTCACTGTTAAACTTCAACACTTTCATTTCACCGCAGTGAAGAGACACAACTGTGAAATTCTTTTACTGAGCAAAATATTTCAGATGTAATCGTATAATGAAAATATATCAAAATATAAATTTTTTTATAACGCACTAAATATTTAATATTTAGCGTTTCAACAATTTTTCACTTTTTTCCAATACTTTATGGGTCAACAAACTTAACAATCAAACATATCGTATAATGAAAATATATCAAAATATTAATTTTTTATATTATACTAAATATTTAATATTTAGAGTTTTTTTTAGAATTTTTCACTTTTTTGCAATACTTTATGGGCCAACAAACTGACCAATCAAACAAAAAAAAATATTGACCCATAATAAACTTTGCAATCCCATAATAAATATTTAATATAATCACTATTTATAAAAACCACGATGACGACTTAACATTGGTGGCATGTAAACTTTTTTGGAAATTAAAAAAAAAAACCCATTTGAATAAAAGATTTAAGACTTATTAATGGCCTGATTTCAGGGCCAGTTATTGGTCATTTTATTGGCTTCTTACAAACAGAGCAGTAATCAGTGACCTTTTAAAAGAGCAGTTCTGGACAGCACGTGGTCCAGCCGGGTTAACTGAGATCTCATCAGGGAGAAAGTCTATCTAGAAAAGACAGATTCAAAACATGAAAATTAATAGTATTTTAATTATGAATATTATTTGATGAGTCATTTTGTCTTTAAACCGCAGTAAAAGGGCGGGCGTGTCCGACACAATCACGTTTTTCTACAATGTTACTAAAGCAACCGCTGATGTATTTGCAATCTGAGTATAACTGCCTGGTTTGGACATGTTTTGTGTAAAATCTAGCAGTAATTCATAAAATATTTCCTAAATCATTACAGACCTGAGACACAGCGTTGCTATCGATGAATATAAAGTTCTCTCTCTATTCAACATTTCAGAGAAACTGAATAAATTTAAGCAGACACGGAGGACCACTCCCTGAGAACCTCGCACTTGTCCACCAAGGGCAACAACTGTTTCAGTTCTCCAGATAAACGTGAAGTGAACCCTTCAGCTGATCAAACTGTGGCCCATAGACCAGACCTTGACCACAGGCTCTTATCACAACAATAACCCGTCCACCTGCTACTTATCACACGCACTCCCCAAAAACCTTTGCCGCTATGTCAAAAATCAAAAAAGGCCCTCATTGTAAACATTTCTTATCCAGAAGCCAAGGTCTTTTACACGTGTCAGAAACACCTGGCTGCTGCCCATAACCTACAGCTATAGATAAACTGACCCCAGAAGTGCAATTCAAAAACACATATGATCAATGAGCCCATGAAGTGGGACATAAATGAGCTAATAACAGTCGTATTATTTTATATTTGGGCAGAAACAACACGCAGGATCAGCAAACAGTGTTTTTAAAGATCATTGGAACGACAAAGGTTTTCTGAGTAGCGTAAGGTCATACACTGAGGGATGACACGGCAAACCAAGCACCGCCCACAGTACGTCTGTGATATTACATGTCATGGTACAAACAGAAGATAACCGGCCGACAGAAACGGGAACGGTCGGGTTCTTTCTCTCGTCTGGACCCTGACGTGCAGCTCCTGGTCATAGTTTCACAATCAATGGCACCACACAATGATGATGCCTGAGGTTAAAACGGAGGCCAGAGAAATGCAGTGCCGCAGGTAAAGTGCTGTGTAATTCCAGTCCAGAAAAGGACTTAAGGGACCAGCAAAAGAGCAGTGCAGCTCACCGTGCATTTGTGATTGATGGTCTCTGTCTGTGCAGTCGCTGACTGAGCAACATGTACATCTCTTATTCACACACACCTAAAGGCTCGCATGCTTTCTATAGTGTGCACAATATATGCCCCGAGCAGTGTAGAGCAGGGCTATAGTGGTGCCTCATTTGACTAAAGGACTATTCCGTGTTGACTGTGACATTTCGGTTCAGATAAATCTGAAATATTTGGGGGTTTTTGAACCTTTAACTGAGGATCTAATTTATTTCTTACGATTGTCATCAGAAAGTGAAAAAAAAGAGAAAATTCCTAACACGGTGTTTGTCACACTTCAACAATAAGGATCCCGTGTGCTAAAGTATGACCATAATGCAACAGTACTGTATACAGTACAGTATAAACCTACTGCCCCTAATCCCTGATCCTGTCCCATCTGCTGTCCAGTGCTAGGACATGTCTGGTCTGGATTTTGGCCAGACTGGGCCGGTCGCCACTGTGGTCCCAGCAGCCTATCAGGCAAGACTAGCTTAATGCTGACACATCGCTAACATCAGCCAGGAAAGAAGAAACATCAGCAAAGCACCATTTTAGATTTACACAAGGAGGAAGACGGTTACTCATCTGCAGGTGAAAAAAAAAAATTCTCAAACTGATATACATACAACCGAGAAACATTATTGTCATTCAATATTTAAAAAAAACAAAAACATTTTTCTCTATCTTAAGGAAAAAATAAAACCCGGTTTTGCTGTGACAGAGGCCACACCCTTTCAATCGTATGCGTCGCCATTGACATAAAGACATCTGAATACATTCATAACACTTTTCTGCGACAAAGACTGTTTCAGCTAAATGACATAAGAGCTAAAAGCTCTTAACATGAAGAATTAATAACATAACTTTAAAAATATGAATGTTCTCAATTTATCATAAATAGAAACGTACGCTGTGTGAGAAAATACATTTACATTTAATTTTTGATTAAAAAAATAGGAAACAGGATAATCATTGATTAGAGTGGATGACCATAAAAATATGAATCTGGATCCTTTTCAAATGTGGATATAATAAGATGACTGACCATTAGCCAAATGTTAAAAAAAAAATGAACGCCATAAAAATATGAATCTGGATCCTTTTGTGTGGATATAATAAATATATGACTGATGATATATGATATAATAAAATGACTGACCATTAGAGTTTAGTTTAGTTAAAAAAAAAAAAAGAACATTTGAGGTAGACAATGGTAAAACTGAGACTTTGCTGCCCCTCCACAGTCCTCACATTACCTCTATAGGACAATAATTTGTGCAGATGCAGATGAACGTGTCATCGATATGCACAGATATAACCAGGAGCGCCACTGATTGATGATGCAAACTCTCTCCCTTTAGCCTCGTTTGTGACCTCTGACTTCTCTCTCCTCGAGGGGTTAAACTTATTACCCTTTGACTCGTGTGACCTCTGCTGTGAAAGGAGCTAGATTGAAGGATGACCACAGCTTGGGTCTCATTGGCCACTCTCTGGCCAAAGTGTGGCCGCAGATCTGACCATCCAAACCCTAGAGGGATGTGACCCTGGCCCCGCCACACGCTCGCTGGATAATACTATTAACAGGTCAATAAAAGCCCCCGAAATATGGGGGGTAGGAGAAAAGCTGGTTCAACCTAAAAAGGTGAGCAGGAATAATTGGGTGAGAGTAGGGTGTGAGGGGGAAAACACATCTGAAATGTAGACTAAGGTTTCTTTACATTTCCTCTGTTAGAGTGCATGATCAAAAACCTAATTCCCAAACATGAATCTAACCAATGACAGCAATAAAAAATGAGCAACAATTAGTTGACCTATTAATGACTTATCAACTACTACAATAGTCAATGACTAAATTTTGAACAGCTGATTCATCATTTTTAGCAATAAATATTTACTGAACAAATTGTGATTTTCTATGACAACAGAAAATAACTTGTTTGTGAACTAAGTATAAGATTTGAGAATGGTGAATCTTTCAATTTAATTATTATTTTTTAAAATTCTTACTGCACACTGGCCAAAATTATTTATGCACAAATCACAAAAATAATATATGGCCATTCAACGGCTAATACAAATCATTATTATTTGCACAACCTAATTAGCTCTAAAGCACTTACTGAACCCACTGAATTAAATTGTGCAGAGTCATATAATTAACTTATTACTTTTCCAATTTTCCTATTTGTAAAGCACAGGGAGAAAAAAAAATAACAAATGGTAAAACCATTCCATATTGTAGCAGTTATTGTAAGGCTATATTAGGAGAAGTGTAACTTTACACTGCACATCATCCTCTGATAACAGGAGCTCACTGGGTGTTCACCAGCACGCTACATGCAAGACATGTGCTTTACACACATTCACGCCATTTTGCTGCCAACCTTCTAATTCTATTATTAGCGTAAAAGTACTTTGGGCTTCAGCTGATTGAAACATGAGATTAAAATCACATTTTTCTGATATTAAACCACAAACTTTTATAGACATTTTAGACATTCAGTTGACTAAAACATGTTCTAAACAAGATGGGGGCGTAAACACAAACATAATGCACATCACCTCCCTTCACCTTTAAGAGTTTAGAGCCAATAATAAAACAAAAAGGCAGACTAAATAATGCAACGAGGAGCAGGAGCTGGAACACCACACATAAATTAGTTTGAAAATGGCTTTACAGTATTATAAAACCCAGCTGAAACGTTAGGGCTGAGAGAATTGACTCTGCTGAAGTTGTCAAACCTGTGACTGTAAACAACCTGACACGCATGCACACAGTGCCACACAAATGCACTTGCCCAAACACACAAACATATATTAGCGGGAGGAACACACCGACTGCTCTGACATTCACGGAGAGGAAACCTGAGAGCGAACAAGGCCCGGGCTCAAAAGTAGAGAGGAAGAATTTGAAAAGAGTAGAGTAGAGGAGGGGAACGTACCCAGATAGTGGCTTCAGAAGCATCAGTGTGAGGGGAGAAGGGTGGGACACCTGCAGAACCTCGTGTGGTCTATCCCAAGCTCTTCAGCGACTGCTCCCTCGCTGAGAGCAGTGTGTGAGTGTGTGTGAGGCAGAGAGAGTATGTGTGTCAGTGGCTGAGGGAGGGGATCCTCCCCCCCTCCTCCTCAGGACTGTGCCTCCTTAACAGGATGGAGGGGTAGGTGGGGCCACTGCAATAAGGCAAACACAAATACACACACACTCACATTTTTCGATGGCTGTTAGGTCCAAGCTTCTTTTCCTCTTTCCCGCCTCCGCACTTCCATCTTTCTGTCCCTTTTCAAGATTCCCTCTTTTCTCCTCCTTCCCTTCGTTGTTCAGCTCTATCTGCAAGATTTTTTACACCCTTTCATTTTCCAACCACCTCCTTATTACTGTAATGTATTTTTTAAAATGCTGCTGGTAATTCTACTGATGTGAAAGTGAGATATGTTTAGTTGCTCGTCCACAACCTGCTAAACTCTGAGGGTGTGTGTGTGTGTGTATTCCATCGCTCTTTAGTCTGGTAGAACTCCAGTGTAAAGATTAGGCAAACAGCCAGAGAGCACGGTGTATCAGAGACCTGGAAGAAGAGAAGGAGCTCAGTCAGAAAAGGAGAGAGCGTTCCCATGATTCACGGCAGCCGAAAACACTTTTCTGTAGATAACCTTTTACCGTTCCCTTTCCTTTGGGTCGCTGGCCGTCACCCCTCCTCCCTTCCACTCATCTGGCCACCAAACAGTCCCATATGATTCAGAGAGTAGCCAATCCTACATAAATCACTCCTGTATTCCATTGGCCACACGTTACATTGAAAGTATTGATTTTCTCCCCCACCCCTCCACCATCACCGCAGCACTGATTGCAAGAAAACCCTTCACAACGGTCACAAACAGGAAGTGGGAAAACACTAACCACGAGTGCGTTTCGACCTGCCACAATGGCGGACACAGAAGAATGGGAACATGACTGTTGCATGCGACACAAAGGCGTCAGGACACATAAAAAAAACTCAAAGCATTTCAAAATATCCACCAAAAAAATCCAAATCCATTTCAAAATATCCACCAAAAAAATCCAACAAAAATCCAAATCCTAAACAGATTTTGCTGACCTGTCATCTACCAATCCAACCATAAAGCTACAGAATAACAGGAATATCATTAACAAGTCTCAAAACACACAAACCTGGTTAAAGCCTGGACACAGAGCAGTAAAAGACACTCGATGAGACACTGTCCATATGATTAAAACTGACCACAAGAGCAAACGCTGCCGTTTCCATGACAGCACAGCTGAGGATACTTTGAACTCTGACCTTATACTTCTGAAGCATTGACCAAGCCCAGGGGTCAATCAAAGAGAAGGTCAGCAGGGGTCAAATGGTAATGACCCCTCTTTCTGGTTATGCAACCATATCAACCTCTTCCAAGTAGAATCTGGGCATCATTCATCGTAATCAGAGCCGTGCACCTTTCAGGAGAATGAGGCGATGCTGCTGCTGCATAATGAAGGTGAAAGACTGATGATGATAATCTACGTAAGATCACAACAAAGACAAACAAACAAAGATCAGCATTTAAATGTAAATAACAAAAGATACATTATTAGGGTTGAAGAATTCTGTGAAATTTTCTCAAAAAGACATTTCGTCGCTCATCCAAGAGGGTTCCTCAGTTCTGAAGAAAATTAATTCTGAAGAAAATTTCACTACATTATTAACTATTCTAAAAAATAGCATTCAACAGTATTTACCAGGTTAGAATCATCCAGGCCAGGACGTTCTCACTGAACCTGATTTTTAAAGGTTAGAATCATCCAGGCCAGGACGTTCTGATTTTTAAATCTTAGTTATTTACTGCTGCAAAAAAACATTACTGAAACCAAAACCCTAATAATAAAGATGTGGATTTGTTTTGTTGGATAACCAAATACAATTGTGGGGGCAGTTTTGATCAACTATCAAGTGAGTCTTGCGAGGTACAGTGTCATTATTTATTCTTTCATTTCATTTTCAGTTTAGTTTACTGAGTTTTTTGGTGGAGTAAATTCAGGGCTTTTGGTTTTGGAAAGTTTTTAAGGTTACTCTACTCTTGCTCTGTAAAATGATTTTTCTGTCAGATCCTAACCAAGTTCTTTGGTTTCTGTTCTCATGGTTTCACAAGTTAAATATGTTTTTCCTTTAATGGTGAGTCTGGATAACAGATTTACTTTTCCTGAAGTTTTAGAACACTGCCATGCTGAAACATATACAGTAACTAGTTCCTGACAGGCACTAGCAGAAATGTTTGAAGAAAGAAATGTTTCTTCAACATGTTGTCGCAGCATTTAATAGAAATCTGTGATGAGTCAGCACAATGTACAAACAGTAGAGTAAAACAGTCAGATCTCGATTGTCTAACACAACCACCTCTGTGACACATATCCAAAAAGGAAGTGAGGTTGATCGTAAAGAAAGGATGAGACACTTGGGGCAGAGTGAATGAGGTCGGACGAGTGTGGAGCGAGGACAGATGAGGAGGTGGGGGGACTGATCAGAGGGGTGCCAGACACAAAGAGGCCAGACCACGGCCAGTGGCACGCGATGGGCAGATTAACCAGCGTTTCCTCCCCTAACTGAAGCATTAGGACACCTGACTGGGTCCCGCCAATGGCAGCCAGCCAAGGATTTGTGTGTGGGGGGGCAAGCTGGAGTTTCGTCTTCCAACTCTCATGCTCTTCAACAACACAAAGAGGGGTGGGGTTGTGTTTGTGGAGGGGAAAAACAGGGGTTGATGGGGTGGTGGCTTGGAGTGGGGAGAGGGGGGCTACAACCCCTCACCATCTGCTGCCCAGGCTAAGTGAGGACAGGGCTAGGGCCAGAGTACAGGCTGGAGTTTCAGAGCACGTGCACCAAATACACACCAGAGTGTCTGCGTGCACTCACCTGTTGTTGAGTCGGTGGGTGGGCGGGTGAGTGGGGTAGCAGATGGACAGGGCATACTCCTGGCACTGGACCATCATCACACATGTAGTAATGTGTCCCTTCCCCCACATTCCTAATCTAATCTACAGTGCCAGACAATACTTTATATTTCACTCAGTTTGATTAAGAAATCTGTTATTAAGGACAAGTGCTGGATGAGAGAGAGAGAGAGAGAGAGAGAGAGAGAGAGAGAGAGAGAGTATCGTTTAAGCACTTGGCTGTTTACTGTAACGACTACAGATGTCCCCCCTTTCCCCCAGCCTCCCACATCCATTGCTGCAACCTGACCATATTGGAAAATATTGGCCTATTCAGAAACTGGACATATTTTTCATAAACCAATGAGTCAGCATTTTTTCTTTTATTGCTGTAAATTCTGTAGATCCCAGTTGGTGTATAAAAAAAGTAATTCCTAAAGATGGGATTTAAAAAGCCAGTTCACTAAATGCTGTTTACACCTGCTCTTGAGAAATGCATTCCCCTTTGCCCACATACAGTCCTAGGGATTTACTTTTAATGAAATCTAGAAAAAGTTAAACCGTTTTTATACATCTGTATCTGGAAGAACATGTGCACAAATAAAGTATGAGGTTTTGTCCATTTTCCAGCATAGACGTGGATCTGAAAATTACATGTTTTGACTCTATCCACACCTTTATTATTAATTGTAATTATTTTACAAAGATTTACACATGGGCTGGATTAAAAACTATTTTTAAGAATTGAGTAAACCTCTGTACCTGAAGAAAAAAATCCACACATCCAAATCAAATCACTGCTTCCTCAAAATACAGCCAATTACACTGCATCTACCAAAATATTAAATCATTTTCTCCATGCTTTGTGTATTTATTTTCACATTAGCGAAGTGTTGTTGTTGTTGTTTTTCCCCTGTTAAAAAGGGGGCCAGAGCATCAGACCGTACAGTCTGCTGTGCAGTAATCTGAAAATGCCTGTAATCCTCCATACACAGCCTTTCTGGGGACTGTAGTTGCAGGGCGCAGAGGTGCAGACTCATTGCCGTTTAGCAGCCATGTGTCTGACCGAGCTTGACACGCAAGTAATGCCTTACAGCTGCCAGGACACACACTGAGTGATGAGGCACAGTAAAGCTGCGCTGGTCACTCACTGGAATAATTATGCCATTTTTTGCCCGAAAACAATGACCAGTGAGTGCAGGTCAGTGAACTCATTCAACTCTGTGTTAAAGATGTGCCAGTTTACTGGAGCCAACAGAATCTTGGGGTTCCTGAGGATAGAAGTAAAAAATAACTCCGTGTGTAGGAGAATAAACTAGTGCATTAACATTGAAAATTTATAGTAAAACTCAAATAAGTTTCCAAAACTACAAAACAGAACTTTGCATCATGAGACTCTGGACAGAATGACCTTAAGATATCTGACGATGTGCTCGAAATGAAAGATTAAATTTTAATATAGACAAAGTGAAAAAGCCCTGCTAGGCTGCTGGTACTAAAACCAACTCACGTATACTCTGCAATATTTTGCCATTTTGAAGGCAAAACAATTTTACAAATTAAATTTGCAACTTAATATTTCAAATACCAAGTTCCTCCACACATTTATACAGTATAGGTTTTTATCAAAGTGCACTGTGTTTTTTCTTTCTAGAGTTGCTTTTGAAGATCATAATTTAACAAATTATGAAAAACATATTTTAAGATGCAGTTTATACCTGTAAAAACATACCAACTTGAACTCAAAGGTAAAGAAAGCTTCTGACCCTAACTGTACAATCCAAGAAAAATAAAATACTATCTCTTTTCGTGAAGAGTAAGGAATATAACTTCTGTGGCCTGTTACATTATTTCACCTTCAATAGAGTAATAAATGACCACACACATCTCACAAAGGTTAAACTCATTTCGGTTAATCCCAAAAGTGTACAAATAAACTAAACTTCCGCAACTTACCTGAACAATACCAAAACTTCTTTAGTCATTAGTGACGTCCACCATCGACCGTTGGAGGCGGCGTCAAACGCACACCTGTTTATCTGCGTTCTAATTATAACAAAACAACGTCAGATCTGACAAAATGGAAAATCTAGATTATTTTTATATATAAATTCAAACTGCCCTGAATTATTGTTTTGAATCCGTTTTTATTATGTTCGAAGATCCACGGTATCAGTTAAATAAAGTTAACGTTATCTTCTAAATGTACATATTTTCCCAAACATTGTGCTTTTAATGGCGTTGGTCGCGGCCCTCTAGTGTTTTTGCGATGTACTGCAGTGAGACGAATTAACTTTAACATCGTTTACGTAGTAAAAAAAATGTAAATTTTTGATAAAAGAACAAAACCACGATCGATTAAAAGATTAAGACAAATGAGATTACAGTGATGAATTAAGAGAAGGTATAATTTCTAAGAATTTATAAAAACTATACTCAACTTCTGACCTTTTCATTGACTAATTTGACTCTGTTTGTTGAACATAAATTAAATTAAAATTTCACAAAGTTTGCTAAAAAATTCTTGTACTCTGTTTGTTGAACATAAATTAAATTGTCACAAAGTTTGCTAAAAGATTCTTGGTTCTACCAAAGAAAATTATTTTGCAGATTATTACAGTAGTAAAATGTTCCTTTTATGCTGGTGTGATTCCAACAATGCAGCTGCTATATGCACACCACCCATATATCATATTACAGGAGCGTCTTGAAACAATTGTACAATTGGTGGCTTCTGCATATTTTATTGAGAAAAAAAAACTTGGTATATTTTTTCTAAAAATTAACTAATGTGACAACAGTTAGACAAAGTGAAATTTCTTTATTTAAAACAAATATAGTATATTCCACACTACAACTTTGAAAAGTATATTTTCAATTAATCTCTATACAGATCCCTTTAGTGTTGAACACTTTATTTTTATTTTTTAAAAATGTACCAATGACAACAAGTGTTAGAAGTGTTCCACTGTTGGTGAAGATTTCAACTCATTTGTAACAAACAATAATAGAATGCATCCTAGTGCGTTGACGTGAGACTCACTCACAGACAAAATAACCATTTATTTTGGTTTGAACATTGACAGAATTCTATTTAAGAACATCCACTATCCTCCATTGAAGAACTCAACAAATTCTGCGCAATAACAAAACCATGGACAATACAGGAATGTAGTGCCAGTCATCAATGTCATGATAAAAAACCGGTACAAAATAAAACAACAATTATGATAACTGATCAGAACAGATCAGCTGAAGTGTATTAAAACAGAAACACTTGGATTAAGCTACATAGGCCTAAGTTGTATAAACGTATTGATCTTTGAGTCAGAGCAGATTCTTGACTGGTTTTGGCTGCTGTGATGCTATGGTATTTGCCTGGACACTGTTTTGGCACAAAATGTGACTAATACTTGTAGCATGATATGTGCTCCATATCAAAGGAGTATTTCTCAACTATAAGTTTTACACCGTCAGTGTAACACCTGCAACATGAGGAGTCTGTTGTTTATATTTGAATCTGAAATACTTGTTAGTCCGCTCTATCTTGGGCAAAGTCTGACCTGAGATTCCTCTAACGTATCCTTCAGAATCAGAAACTAATGTTCAAGCTTATCCAGATGGAGTAAAATATTATAAATAAACAATATTTCAGGAAAACTTTATAATTTCTCTCTATTTTCCCTCCTCGCCCTGGAGTTACAGCCACGACAGCAGCATGATTTTAACGCCCAATCTAGTGACAATTACTACAAATTACACAAACAAATTATAGATAGTGTGACACGTGCTGTAAAAAGCAATCACTTAAATAAACATGGCGCCACACTGTTTCAGAGAGTTGGTTCCCTGAAATCAGACCATTTGTAATCTTGTATTTTTTTTCCCCAACAAAATTGCCAAGCAGGGCAAAATGTGGTTTGGCTCCAAAATTGAAAATGAAAGATGAACAATTAAAACAGAAAGTGTTGACAGACATGTAAGGTAGCGACGCACCGTCCTAGCAGCAGAACAAATGAGAGGAAATTACGGTTTGATTCTGTCTTCAGTCAGTAGATTGTCTGTTTTAAACTAAAGGCTTTTGTTCTCTGGGGAGAAGAGAGCTGCCAAGCCCAGAGGTTCACTACTGTCTATCAGATCCTTCTCTTGCTTGGGCTTTTTAAAAAGCGACGGAAGATTCCGGATATGCACCTCTTTCCTGAACTGCTGGCACAGGGCTTTCTGTTGGCAGAGCACAGCAAGAGAGAGAGAGAGAGAGAGAGAGATAGGGAGGAGTTTAAACTTAGCTGTTGGTGATGTACAAGACAGAATTTCATTAGATTGTAAAGCAAGTTAGATTTACAACAGCGCCAGAGTCACAGTGCTGAGTAGTGACTTGCACTATTACTGCCTTCGACTCTGCTCGCTTTCTGACTGCCTTTCTGCAGCGTTATAGTAGCAGGACACTGCCCTCTAGTGACTCCATGTGGCATTACCCCCACAGCTCCAGCGATGAGCTTCTTGAACTGGTCTTTCCTCCTCTTTTCTCCAACCTTCTGAGCATTGGGATCCATTAGTCTCTCGTCATACTGGCCCAAAGCCTCCAGGCTGATGTTTGGGATCTGAGCCATGACCATTCTCAGTTCCATGTAACGCGGCCGCTACCAGGGACAGGACAGAAAAATGGACACATTAGAACATGAGCAACAGTCTCTTTATCAGATTTCATTACAGCAGCAGTCTGCACAGTTTGAATTGGGGGACTATTTGGAAACAAATACAGAACCGTCTGAATAGTAGACAAGAACCCTACCACTACATCACAAGAAGAAGAAAAAAAACAACAGGGTTTTATTTGTTTTTACAGTATACCCACCAAAAAATTGTGCCATTGAAGTAAAATATTTGCATTTATCCTCACCAGGTTTTCATAGATGAGCATGGCCAGTTGTGAGAGGGCGATGTAGCAGACTTCATGCTGCCCGTGAATCTGAAGACCTCTGAGGACGCTGGTTAGGAACCATGTGACAGCCTCAGGAAGGAGGTTACCGCCCATTACCTGAAAGAAAAAGAGGGAAGAATTATTTAAATAAAGCAACATTTAAAATAAAAATCACAAGTAGTGAAAAATAGAGATTTAGATTTTAGTGGCTGTCTTTCAAGACTTTAACTGACTTAATATGTTTAATCAAGACTCAACAGCTCACAAACAACTAGAAACTAATGTCCCCGTTTAAAACGGCAGTCACAGCGCCACCTACCTGTCGTAGAAGGGCCCAGCAGATCATGGAGGCGGTGCGGTGACAGTTGGTTGTGTCTTTCCACGACAGGGAGTTGTAGGACAGAGTCAGGAGGGACATGTAGATGTTCTGGGGAAACAACAAGAACAGTGGTTGGTACACGGTGTCCAATACTACTGCGAGTGTACTTTTCTCTGGCAGCGATGTGATGCGTCTTTGGCTGACCTCGTGTTTCATCAGACATTTCCCCAGCTCAGTCAGCTCTTCTGTGGTCTGAGCAGAAGACGCTGTCTGCACTGAATCCATCATCATGTCCTCCTCTGCACGAGAACATTTCAAGTGTAATAATACCTCAAATTTGGAATTTAAAGAACAAACAACTCAAGTACAAAATTAAATGTACTATTGTGACACCTACCATCTATTTCTTCTTTATTTGCTGCTGCTGCTTCAGGCAGTTTTTTGGAGATGCAGCTCATACCTTGAAGACAAGGTGAAAGAAGAGGTGTTGTAACTGCACATAGGCAAATTCCATTATATTTGAAACAACTGTACATGCAACAGAGTCTGACAATGGAGGGATTCCTTCAGAAAACAAAGAACAACTAATCTAATCTACGAAACCATCCAATATCCAGGGACCATGACATATAGTAGGACTTTTTACCTCAAGACTAAAAGTGTAAATTTCAGTCGGTGCTAAGTTCTAAGCGGAGTTTTTGGACTTTCTCCATTGTCAACTTGAGATGTTTTGAGCTCAAGTCAATAAACAAAATAAATAATAAAATACAAATTGTCTTTGGGGAAAAAAAGGAATATTGTGAGATTGTATTTTTTTTTTTAACTTACTGAGTAGATCCATTACTTCCCTCGTGAGCAACCGCACCATCTGTTCCTCCAGCATCTCCTGTGTCACCTGACTCTCTTGACGAAGAACCTGCTCTTCTTCATCACTAAAAAGGGGGGAAAAATACAAAGTTGTTACTTGATAAACATTTGAGCAATCCGAAGACACGTAGTGAACACCGACATTAAAATCCTTATCTTTAAACTTACTCCACAGACGTTCTCTGGTTGATGACCTGCCACTTGACGTTTAGTCTCTGTAAAAAAAAATGAGACAATCTTAACAAAATAAACTCTCGTGTCACGAGTAATGTGCACTTAAAGTGCAAAAAACATAGAAAACGTGTTCAAATGCTACAGTGTTTCCGTGTACCTGTAATAGTTTACCTGTTTCTGTTACTGAATAGCAAACATCCTGACATTACTATTTATTTTTAATATTTCCAAATATCTGTATGTTTTAAATTAACCCATAAGACGGATGACAGAAGTAGACAGACAGGGACATCAGACGTGAGCGACACTCAAAAAACCTGAGCACTTATTAAGTCCTAATACATTATCCACTTAACAAACAAGTATATTTTAGGCATATTTTTCAATTGTTTCAAGTAACTTTCAAAAGTGTGAGTAAGACTGATGTAGCCTAAGTTTGTATTTGAGGAGATCCAGACCTGCTGCATGTAGGCAAACAGAGGGCCCAGCAGGGGGCAGAGTAGATTGTCGTAGTACTCCTGAGGACACCACTGCACCAACTGCCTCACAAACAAGCGTTGCACTGATTAAGGAAATTGACTGTTGAGCTCAGATGAGTTTATGTAGCGTTATATCAGTTAATTAAAATAAATATATATAATATATAAAAAGTTACAGGTTTGCAAATGTACATCGTCAAACTGCTGTGTTAAGCATGGCAATAAATTTAAAAAAAACAGGAAAATTAAATGCAGGATATGAATCATAGGGCGAAGTCTGTGGTCTGGCACGTGGTCCAGAGAAACAAAAACAGAGCCAGCTATTTCTAGGCAGCCTCTCGATCGTGTAGAAACCCTGCTGAAGCGACAATCCGACATTTCCCAGAATGTGGAAGCTGCAAAGTTTGAACAGCATTGCAGGGAGAAGATTTTACTCTGAAGCAGCAAGTTTGATGTAGATACAGTTGGTGACAAATTATCAAAAAACAAGCTTTTCTTACCAGTTTTCATACACAATGGCGAAAAATCCCTGCATGCGCTCCAGGCTGGTTTTGTAAACAGGGGCGTCACATATATCCACAGGATTGTGAGAGAGACCTGGTGTGAGCACAAATAGGAAAGGTTGGATGAAATTCCTTTTCCAGTTATTAAATAACATGTTTTTGCCACAGACTGCACCAACCAAGGGCTGTCATCTTGTCTGCCTCCATCATCTCATAGGCTTGAGAAAAGGTGTCACTCAGACGAGCCATGTTCTCCGGGAGGAACAGACTGTTGAGAGTCCTGCAAATGAGGGGTAAATAAAATACAGAGTAAGGAAATAAGAAAAGGAAATAGGAAGGAAAGGAAGAGTAAGGAAATAGGATTGAACTCTGGAAAGAATAAAAACATTGTTTAAATCTTTTTTGAGATTTTTTTTCTGTACCTGATCAGAGCCAACAGATTTGGCAGAAACAGTAGAAACTGGGAAGAGCAGGGGTTCCTGTAGATGGGGGCTCCAGCTGAAGTGAGACCCACCACGAAGCCGCCAGACTTCGCTTCCTCCAGGTTTGCAGGCCAAGTGGCCCGTTTGACGACCCCCATCATGGCATACAAACAGAAACTGACCTGGACCAAGGACAAAACGACTGTTTGTAGCACACCGACACGCTGATATCAGAGTCACAATCTGAACGCCAGCTTACCCGCGACCTGTTAAGGCCTGCTGCGTCTGCATCTGCACTCTGCTCAGCGATGACCCGGTCGACTCCGACGTAGGACAGGAACATGGCGGGGTCACTCAGAACTCTGAGAAAAGCCAGATGACAGATCTGTAATTTGACGTGGTGCCAAAATGAAACAACAGGAACAACTGGGAATGGACAGCAACCTTCTCATTTCATCTGAGGTCCACTCCGCCAACATCGACGCCATCAATTCATTTAGAAAAGCTTTCTGCTTCTCAAAGTCTTTGAACTGGTTACTGATCAGCACGAGAGCTTCCATCAGTGAGTATTTCTCCATGTGATTGAGTGTCCCGTCGCTGGAGAACAGGGTCTTCACATGGTTGTAAAACACTTCAAAACAAGGCTGCAGAGAAAATGGTTTATTTTAATTATACAGCAATAAACTATTTATTGATAATGAGCATAAGAAGCTAATAAATGTAATGTCTTCTATATATCTATATGTGAGAGCCTTTACCAGAATGATCTGTGGGTAATCGCGGCACATTCTGATGATGGAAGAACACGCGTGCCTTCTCACATTCTTGACAGCTTTTGGCCGAGGAACCTAAAGACAATTTTAAAATTATATTATGTTGTTGACAAATGAAAATAATGAAAACCTAGTAATCTGCTTAAACACTTCATATTGTACCTTGTTGTCCTGACAGACCTCAAATGTGATGGCTCTGAACAGCTGTGGAGGGAGAACAAAATGTAAGTCCACTTTCACCTACGTTTAAGACACAATTCACGCTACCGAAAAAATAAATGACATCAACTTTGCCAACCTTGTATAAGATCTGTGTCAGGAAGTGAGGTCTGTGCACCACAAAAGGAAAAAGGGCAGAGATGTTGGTGAGCACACAGGACAAGATGAGCGGGTCTTTGCTGTCGTAGTTCAGCACCACCTGCAGCAGCTCCGTGCCCTGATCTATCGGCAGCTTCTACAAGTTCACAGGCAGAGACAGAGAGCAGGAGTCTTCACACATCAGAGGACAAGCAGCATGTTTTTTTTCTTCTCACATGGCTTTATTTAGACCGTTACCTCCTCTTCCAGAGTTTTAAAGATCTGTGCCAACACGCACTCCATGAAGATGGTCATTGCGTCCCACTGGACGACAGACGGAGACAGCAGAGAACACAGACCCTCTGCAGTCTTAACTGGTGAAGTGTGTGAAGAGAGAAGTTGTTTCAACAAATCTATCAGCAGCTTTTTTGCAACTTACACTCACAAGGGTGTGAAGGAAAAAAACCAACAACTTACATTTGGCATCTCCAATATCGATAGGGCTGGAAATCTGGTAGCGTAACCACTCTGCTGCGATGTGAAAGGCCTGCAGAGGAACAATTCGACATGCGCTCCTGATGGACTCACCCTGCTGCCCTCGGAAAGCTGCTCCGTGTAAAAAAAACAAACAAATAGTGACAAAGTGCAGAAAACAACTCACAACAGTTGCATTGAGACTGAATTAAAAGGACTTACTGTTAAAAAAGAAGTTGAAGTCCTCGTCACAGTCGAAGTCCACACGTGAATACTCACAACTAGGATTATCATCTCTTGATGGAAAACCGGTCTAGAGACAAAACACTGTGGGTCAGTCTTTCATTTTCTACTGGTAATTCTTTGTCAGGATCATAGGGGGAGCTGCAGTTGATCCCAACAGTTACTGACTGATTCTGGATGGTAATGTGCAGCCTGGCCACAGTAGCATCATTCCCCATCATGTTATTGCACATTTCTCTAAGCATTCCTTTTGCCTTTTCACTATGCACTGTCTGACCTTGACTTGAAAGCATCCACCGTCTCACCTTGACGAGGTTGACCATACAGGCTTTGAGGTATTTGACGGCCATCTCCACCACCACTGCATCTTTGGACAGAGACTCGTGTCTGAACAAAGCTCCCCACGTCTGCAGAGTGGATGACTTCAAAAACTACAAAAAAAAAAACCCAAACAGATCAACTTCCTACATACTCTAATGGAGTAGTAGTTAATTAATTTTTTTTTATGTCTTCTTACCTGACTTGGATGTTTAGTGAAGGACAAAAGGGCTTCCATGTACTTGCCAAGATTTGAAGGAATTCCGATGTTTACTTCTGAACCCTGAGGAGATAAGAGATGGTGTTTTTCTTTTAAGTCATTAATCATACCCAGATGTTTGAGGTAATAAAATAATGAACTGCATTTTCTTACTTTCCCGTGTTAAAATGAAAACAAACTCACCACCAGTGACAAGAGCTGTCCTCCCAGAGCACACAGGACCTGACACAGCCTTTTCAGGAAGACATAGCGGCGTTCCACCACCTCCACCGATCTGCACGTACATTATACAAGCACACTGTGAGTGGCAGGCGGTTGAATTAAATAGTTGGTTTTTTTAACTTGTTTTGCATCCGCTTTTCACAGAGAGTAGATGCTTCAGAGTACGTACTGAGACTTTGTGGACTCCTTACATGTGGCCAGTCCATCTGCTGACCTGTGAACAGACAGAACGATTCAGTGGTGCTGAAATATGTTACGATGAAGAGAAAATGATGAGGAGAATTGTGAAAACTCACTGGGCTGCAGAGAGGATGTAGTGTATGGCTACATCATCAAACAGCAGCATGAAAGGCTTTCTGTCATCCAACTTGCCCTGGGAAAGAAAGACGCATCTAATAGTAAATAAAATAACTAACTGTGAACATGGCTTGTTAAAAAAATTGTCTAGTAATACAGCCAAACACTTAGAGCACAGATATAAGCTCTAAAATAGAGGAATCAAACACATGGACCGTGGGCCACTTCTGGCATACGAACCCCCCAAAATCCAGCCCACATCTAGATGTTAAAAAAAAATTTGTATCTCAATTGTTTCGTTTGCTCATGCATGAATTGTGGCAGCAGTTGGCCTCAGCTGATTTGCATTCAAGAAACCAGCTTTTAAAGGAAGATAAGAGCTTAAGAAAGTCGACTGGGCTGCTGTTAACTTTTGCATGTTGGCACAGTACTACTGTTTACTCTTGTAGCAATGGATTAATTCTTTTATTTTTTAATGTATGCAGCTTTTTTAGAGCTCAATATGAAGCACAGCCATGAGCTCAGCTGCGAACATCTCTTCTGTGTGACCGACCTTCCTACTGATAGCGATGAGCAGGCACTCTGCTGCCTCCAGCTGCAGCTCTGGCTCACTCAGCAACACACACAGGATCTCTAAGAGACGGCAGTTTCCAGAGGTGATGTAGAACAGGGACACCCAGTCTATGTAGCCTGCCAGTGTGTTCAGCGTAGCAACTGCCACTCGACAGTGTGCTCTGGCCTGTGTATGGGGGAAAAGAGAAAAGAATGATGCTGAAGACATCACAGTATGTTTACAGAATCTCTTTGAATGTAAGGAAAAGAGGTTTTTCCTCACCTTTAGTTCACATCCTGGTGATGCTTTCTAGACAGTACACACAAAAACCAAACACATGTTAATTTACTATAGGAACTGTAAAGACTTGATAGTGACTTATTAATAAATATATGTTTGGTATACGATGTATGGTGAATATTTAACGTCAAGACCACACAGACCAGTTTACGATAGTCCTCGACATTAAGCTGCAGAATCGCCATCATGAAAGTGAAGATGCTCTCCATGTTTTGGGTCAGTGTCTGCTGGATGTCTCTGCGTCGCTGTGAGGGCAACGTCTGGAATGTGATCACGTCTTCTGCCAACCGCAGCAGGATCAACATCACCAGTTCTGTCTGTGCCTCCTGAGAATGATAGAAGATACAGATGTGCGTAGCAGCAAGTTAACTTTTATTAACTTTTAACTTTTTATTATATTAAACTTATAATAGGTGTACGATTTGTTAGGACAAACATCTTACCCCTTGACCAGTGAGAGCCTCCATCTCTTTCAGCATGCCTGGCCACTGCTGAGGCCATTCTCTCTTGATCATTTCCACCGTGATCCTGGACAGGACATCTTTGATATGACTCTCCTCCTCCAGGACAGAATGAGTTCCCTGGTGTAATTCAAAACAAAAATACCAGATAATTCTTAGTCATACAGTAAAACTAAATGCAAAGCCACATGGTATTAAGCCCCGGGGGGGTTAGGCCATGTTGTTAGAGGTTCAGGTGTTGCTATGACACGTACTTTCGATAACAGCTGCATGGTGCACTCCTTTAACTCCACTTTCTCTCCCTGCTGCATGTCGTTCCATCGGAACCTGTGGGGGAAGAATGGTTTCTGTGAGATATGAGGCTGTGAGCATTAATTATCAGTTCAACTGTATTATTAAAAGTAATATTAAACTCACTTGATGATGTGCTCCAGGATTTGGAAACCAAAGTGTCTTACTACAGCAGGTTGGGCTTTGTCTGCTAATTGCAGGCCACATGGGATGCATAAGGAGTTCCCTTCTTTAAATTCTTCACAGAACTGCAGGCAGAACAAGTGTGACTTATTTGATGATCGTGCTTTCTACATGTGGTGACTAAACCCTCCCACTTTGTTTCACAACCTTGCCTGTAGCCGTGTCTATAGTCACAAAGCATTTGACAGTTTACTTTTTATATGTACATTTAGGGTGAACATTTCAAATAATTCTTAAATTGCAAGTTCCTGCACAGGAACAGTGTTTGTTCGACCTCAAGAAATTGAAAACTCAATCTGTATGTTGAAAAGAAAAACATTTTTCAAGTCACCCATGTTCAATATGTGTCATCGTCACAAGGTAAACTATCGCAGTGGCGGACTCATTTTTATCGCAATAATATCGTGTATTTAACTCAATTTCTAATCTCCAGAGGCTGCAATTAAAAACATAGCAGACTAACTAAAAAATCTAGCTAGGTGTTCCATTATAGCATCATCTGGAATCGCGATTATACCGTAACAAAGAAATTAAGCTTTAGGGTTTTTTTCCTAATGTAAACATTCCCACAAGTAAATGAATGAAGCTGAGTGGACTGAAATGTTGTGATGACGTGATGATCATGAAGTCCCTATCCTCAGCATTCAAAGCTTCTAACAATATCATCAATGTAAACTTGGCATAGTTTAACAATCGTAACCGGCAACATACGCTTCGCTGTTATCAAATTAACAAAAACTTCTTATCAAGCTTCGCGCCACTCGGTTCCACTTTAACAACAGGAGCAAGCTAACAGTCCACAGTGACGATGCTACCTTTAAGGCCTCCAGTCGGTAAATTTGGTTCGTTTCCGGATCCATCATCACATTGACAGCTTTGATGAGCTGCTCACACATGGCAGCCACCTGGTCTGCCATGACTTCAGGTAGGGTGTGTGACACTGTGAAGGAGAGGAGTTATAGCTCCTTATGCAAAGCAGGCGTACAACGAGAGTTTCCTTCTGCCCACAGACAGACCAACGTGCACAAAATGTGCTGCTGCTACCGCTGCTGCCGAGCGGCTTTGATCCTTTCGCTCGCCGTAACAGTAGAATTCTGGGATGTGTAGTTGAGGTGCCATTTTGGAAAAGATCGTCTCAATGAACAGAGAAGTCACTTCTCGAATGTTTGAGATTTTGTGGTATAAAATATAATTTGTCATTTGAAATAAGGTTAGCATGTATCGTATAATAAATAGAATCCACTGCAGCCCTTGCAGATTTTTACTAGTTTCCAGTAATCCAAGTCCATGTTTTTACAATGATAGTTTTTAATTACAGCATTTGATAAATTTGTGTCTTCATTACTAGAAATTTCATTACTAGAAATTATTCTGTGTTGGTACGCTCTGAAACTACTTACATTGTCAAATTTGCTGAGTTTTACTGAGATACAATGTAAAGGTAATAGTTATTAATATTTGAGACGCAGAACACTTTCTGTGACTTTTTTCAAAACTCTGGAACAATATGATTGTATCAAACATTATTATTATTATTAGTTGCTGTGGTCACGTCTTATTAAATGCGCATGTTAGTTCTTTTAATTTACGCAAGAAATGTATAAAACGTGTTTTATAAGTAAGATACTTTTTTTAAATCACAGCATGAGTCACCACATGTCAAACAGCCACTTGATTCACAGCTTGTCAATAAATCCCCACCCCTGATTAACTTTTAAAGCCCCCTCCTCAAAAATAAAATAAAACATTGATAAAAAAAGATTACATTTGTGTACATATTGAACTATTTAAACTGTCTGTTGCCTGTGTTGTGTGACGTTGAACTAATGCAGGCTAAAAAGGAGTTAAATGCATTTTTATTTGTTCAATCTTTACACCGGACTGGTCCGGTAGGTGGGCGGCGCTTTGTGTTGTAGCGGTGGGCGGGTCTTAAATTCCAGAGTGGAACGAGTTTCCTTCAGAGACGTCACTGTGGGATCGACGGTGAGTCTTGGAGCAGTGCTGTCAGGCGACGGACATTCGGACTGTTTGTTGTCATTTCCTCGAGTAAGTACACGATGGAATTTACCCACTTCCGTCCCTTCATATCTGTATGTGGTCGTAGTATTAACCTTACGTCAAAAAGTTTTGATTTCAAACCGTGCTATGCCCGACGCAAGAAGCACAAAGTTGTAAAGCGATGCTCACACACAAGTACAACCGAAACTTTGGTCGTGAAGGCCCTGTTGCAACAGGTCCACGGCATAACAGACTATATCGGCGTTTATATTTTATGTTTTGTATGTTATTTTTATGTTTTGTTAAACTACAACTAACCACTTGTGCTTTCTGTATTTTTACTTAGGACGGGACTCCTCCAGGCTGTAAACGGTAGCCGTACCCGTCGAGGGTTGAAGGCTGCGAGATTAGAGAGGTGAACAGTCCCAGTGCTTTCGTCGAAACTACCGGTGGATTCATGCTGGCTGTTGGAAGCTAAATGCGGTACGAAGCTAAAATGATGCCGGTGAGTTCTTGCTTTACCAACACAACAACACATTTAATTCCTCCGTCAGGTATAATATTAGTCTTTTCGGCTACGTATTGTCGCACTGACATTGTCGTAGTGTCACAGTAGACCACCTGGGCATTTAAATGGACGTGACTACTTAAGGTGGCTTTTCGGTGTCATTACTGATGCAGGACAGACGTGTGTGTGTTGTAGGTGACATCATGTATTTACATAATGACATAATCCTTCCTCTCATGCGCTATAGTTTTTGAAGTGTCCAATAATTTCAGTATGCAAACACTTCATCCCTCCAGAATCCGTGACAACCACTAAACTAATTTTTTTTTTTAATTTTATTCTAATATAATGATTGCTTAAAAAGGGTGCCTGTCTGAACATTATAGGATACAGGATGAGGTTACATGGTGCTGGTTTTATTTTATATATTTTATTTGTGCATGAAACTGTATGAATGATGAATATGTTATCACCTGCTTATTTGTAAAGCGATGAGGATTATGCACATTTACAACACTTACTATGACCATAAACAATGTTTATTGTACTTAACAAAGGTCATTAGTTTACATTCGCTGATTATTGGAGACAGCTAGTAGAGAGTGAAAAGATGACAGGCGTGCAAGGAAACTCACTTCTGGTGTGACTACAGTGTTCTGTCCAATTTTAGAAAAATATGGGGCATTTACCTTAACATAAGGAGGCTCTACTTCACTATAACTCCCAGCCATTCATTTTTATTCTCTTATAATAAATACGTTCATACTGCTTGGAGCAAACAGCAAGGTTTGCTGCATCTGCCAAGTCTTGCTTGGCCTCTGGCCATGTTGCAACTATCAACCCCATCATCATCATCAGATCATTGCTTTTGCTGCAGTGCAAGCCTCGAGCCTTCACCTCTTACATTGGGTACTAGGCTGGGCGCATGTATTTACTGTTTTAAGTAGATTATAAAAACTTGGTGGATTTCTTAAAGATACACATTGACTCATTAATTTAGCGTTCATGTTTGAGGGTTTAGCTCTCAACTTTGTAAAGTTATTGACACTCTACAAACTTTCTAACAGATATTGACCATGTAGAGGGTACACAACAGTTGTCCTTGTCAGTGCAAACCTGTAGCTTCACTAAAACACCTGGATCATCAATCATCTTAGCAGTGTAGACCGAGCCACAGTTGAATGACTCTTGTTTTGTGCGTGACCTCAGTCTTTTACTGGCTCATAGTCATTTATTATAGTTTTCTTACCCCCTCTTATAAATGACCAATCAAACACAAGATGTATTGTCCCGTTAGGCTACATGAGACCCTGGTAACCAGCTCCTCCTTTTTTTTCCTCAGTATGAGAACATACTACAATATCTGTGTGTGCATTTCACTGAGAGACTGCGTCTGGTACTCGCCTGATAAACACAAAATGGCCTCTATCTGGCTGTGTCTGATGTGAATTATTGTCTTAGAAATTACGCACAGAGCCGGTGACCCTGCACACACAGGGCAGGGGCTCGGGGGTAGTGAGAATGTAATGCGGTAACTGCCGGCCAGATAGGGTAAATAGGGGGGTCACTGTTTTCTGAACACAATGAGCTGCCTGGACCTTTAACAACATGTTGTGGAGAGGACATTGTGTGTTTGTGCCATGCCTGTGCTGTGACAGTGTCCTGATAAGGGATGCTCCACCTTCTATTTGACCCTAGTTGGGTATAAACTCATTAGCCAGCGGCTTACTGTTGTCTCTGCTTCAACTTGTGCAGGCACTACAAACTCAAAGTGGTATAAAAGTGTTGCAATTTAAATTTAAAACAATCAAATGTGTGTTTCACTTACATGACAGACAAACTGAAAAAACAATTTATTTCATGCTAGAGTCAAGATTAGGGAGAGCTACACATGCACAATTTCCTTATCACTTTCTCATTCCTCTCCCATGGTTTGAGTTGCATGTTGTGGAGATTTTAAAGCAGATATCGTTTTTCGCTCCTCCTTCCTGTTTTGTTTTTTGAAGACTGACCACACACGGTCAATCTGTCTCAGAGTTGACAGACCTTGTGGTGGTGTCAAGACAGTGTGGAAGTGAGGAGATAATCTGGGAAGCCTGGTTTTGCTGTGAGTGTCAACAGAAACTTGAGTAGGCTTTATCTGCGGCCGCTATAGCCTTTGTGTTTACCTTGTGGGAAGAGTATGTGGTGGTTACGTAAGCAGACTGTCACATTGGTGAAAGCCAAGGACATCCGGTAACAGTGCTTTGATTCCACAGGCCATAATGTTGGACTGTTTATTGATTGTATTATTGTTGATAGTCATTATGAAAGTTATTAACACTTTGGGGTAAGATATTTTTACTGAAGTAAGGTGGAAGTCCTTCAAAGTAGTTGTTAACTTAATCTGTAATTAAAGGACCAGTCAATATGCTCTGCACTGCACCAGTGTCACAATAGCAGCATAACATTAGCCTAGTTTCTGTATAGAAGGGTCACCATTGTCACAATGTTGAACAGGTTTCAACTCTGATACCTTAATCCCTGGGTGACTCAGTTTTGAATAGCGGTATGACATTTTATAGTTACTGCATTTTTATAAATAGCTCTTTATTTAGAGTGAGAAGAATGTGACATCATCGCATCTTATTGACCAACAATCCTTATTTTCTATAAGTAATTAGGCTGATACTTAATTTGACACCTTTCAATAAAAATATGGCCCTTTGGCCTTAGTAATCCAATGAATTTTCAATTTAAGAATTCTTTAATCTAAGAATTGTCTTCCATTATTCCCCTACAGGTAAAAAAAACACAACTGCCACGATCTCTTTACAATTCTGAGGCTTGGTCATTTATTTATAGAATGGTTTGATATCATTTCAGACTGTATCTTCCAGGTAGTGTTCCCTTGGCTTTCTTTTTCTTCTGTTCATCAGTCACCCATCATAAGAGCAGAACAAAAGGAGACATGCTGTCCCTACTTGGTAATATTTGACACTCATTTCTCCGTGAACCTAGATAAGCTCAGTGTAAGAAGTCAGATCAGGAACAGAAGAATATTTCCAGAGTGCAGACTACGAAGTGATGGTCTAAGTACTGCAATGCAGACTGGGGGAAGAGGTTGTTCTGATCCTAGAGTCGCAACTGGCTGCAGCTACAGTGTGTAGTTTTAGCTGCTTGTTGTTGTTTTGTTTTTTTTGCAGCTGAATGAAGCTCGTGTGAATTGTGATTCATTCCATGTTCTGCTGCTTGTTACCCCTGACCTTCATTCACCCCACTCAGTAACTGTAATGTTGTATAGTAAAAGAAAAATGAGTGAGGGACTAAACCAGAGGTGAAAAGGAGTAATGCATCAAACCATCAGGGATCATTCTGCTGGCTGGCCGATTTGAAGGACTGCTAGGCTGGAACTGTGTCAACCTTTGAAGCTGTGGCAGGCAAATGCACCCACACACAAGAGAGGGATGTTGCTGCAGTGTCTTAAAAAACTTGCTGTAATCAGATTCTGAGGTGACTCCCTCAACAGGACCTAGTTAAATCATTCGCTTGCTACAGCAATATGTGTAATTCACATTGTGGGTGGACAGGAGACCAAACAGTCCCTAAGGTGAGACCCTCCACCCCCCCTTAGGCATGGTCAGACGTATGTCCTCTAAAATCTCCTGCTGTCACACAGGGTTATCTCCATTTGTCACATCCACCTAAAACTCATTTGATTCTTTCTTTCAACAGAATACATAATACACCAATGTATCTAAGAACACACAAGTTATTGTTCAGTGAATATGGGTTTAATCCTTGTGTTGTCCTTGAGGTCATCCTCACCTCAAATGATAATTTACCTTTACTCTATGCAGTTATATCTATATGACAACAATGTCTATTATCTATCTTTACTTTTACTATTTTAATGCTTTGTGGCAGATGTGACTCATATTTGCTGTGTTGGTCTTCGTGATATGGCAGTGTAATTGAATTTTAGTGCAATCCCCCATGATCCTTTTACACTCTATACAATTTGAGTTACAAAATGGGGAAACTGCAATGGTAGACGGTCTTTGATTGGGTCTTAACTCGATATGTGTTCAATTACGTTATGACAAAGGTGAGTTGAAACACCAACATGATAGCACTGACCTTTACAAGGACACAGTGGTCTTGGTTGTTTCTTAAATGCTCCGCTGCTCCTTCGATATTTGTATTTATACAAACGTGTTATTTTCTGTTTACCTGCACCACTGCTGCAGTGCTCCTTCGTTATAGAAAAAAAAATCAGAGTGTGAGACACACACACCAACAAAACATTCCTTTTCTTATTGGTTCTTGGTACAGTGTTGATCTTTAAACTTAAGTCACTTCACAGTGCTCTGTTTTAATAACAGGAAAGGCTTGAAAAGCCTGTTCCCCTGACTCCAGGGGCCCCTGGTGTGAAGGCTGTGACTCTGTATAAACCACAGAGTGAAGAGCTACAGTTCATCAGTATCCTACAGGTAGTCAGTCGGCCGTGAATCAAAAATATGTGAGATGGAGAAATGTCCCTAAAGGCTTTCATCTACTACCACTAGCCAACACCAGTGCAGATCTTTCAAAGGTCATACATCAATGGTGAACACACTGTTTTCGGTGCAGGGACCTGGAGCAGCCATGACTGTGCAGCTCTATGATTTTTTTTTTTTCCCACATCTCTTTCAACAAGTCAAATAAGTGCTGCCATCTGCAGTCACTCTTCTCCTCCTCGTATGTTTTTAATACGGTTACCTTTCTCTGATGTTGCAGCCTTTCATCTCCCTCTTCCTTCCCCATCTTTCACATGCTAACACACACTCTCACACACCTGTCTTTGTTCAGAAAAATAGTTCAAAGCAGTCGCCATGCTCCTTGTCTTGGCTTTACTTCTGACCATAGGCCCAAAACAACCTAATTACATGGATGAATAAAACAGTTTATTAACACGAGGTAATATCTTCCCATGAGAAACTCCATCTCTACAGTGTAGCTTATCATTCAGGCCTGCGGCGTATCCATTTTCTTCTAAAGCACAATTGTTGCTTAAAGACATTGGGTTAGGTTAGCTTATGGTTGTGATTTTAAAGCCAGAGATTTATGAAAGGCTATGAGTTGTGTTCAAGATTAGCTAAATCCCTCAGTCTCCGGGTCTAACCCTCCATAGCTGCTCATCTTGGAGAATATCTCCACGATAGGCTGCTGTGTTAAAAGGCCACAGTTCTCTGCCCTGTCCATAATAATCAGTTTGTGGTTCTGTGCTGTTAACACCACACCCAAGCCCTGAAAGAGACGACCTGAACTTCAGCTGATGCTGTGATGGAAATAGAAATCTATCACTTTTACAGAACGACTGGGGAAGAACGTCTCCTACTTCAATTCCCCGGAGGGATCACTTGCCGGGTCTTTCAGGTACAAAGTGAAGTGCAATTCAGCAATTGCTTCTGTCTTTCACAGTGGTAGACAGAAAACAAGTCGGACTCATTTTTATCAAGCCCTGTCATCAAGAACCATACAAATTGTTACCACTCTGCTTCCTGTTTGTGTAAGGTAATCTAGACTGATACTTTGTTCTTTTTGTGCTGCTGTAATCTTCTTTCAAATAGATTCAGTTAGGACTGGACGATTATCACTATGTAACTTTTCATAAATTTAAAACATGACTGAACACAACTGTTTTATTTCTATCTAAACTTATGATACGAACACATGTAAGTAAAATGTGAAATTCAATTCACTAATACAAAACAGTCAAAATAGAATAAGGATAAACAATGTGCTAAATTAATAATAAGTAGAATTCCAGTATGAAATTAAAAATTGCCTTGCTGCTGCTGTTAAATGTTGCATTCACTTGGTTTGGTTTGGTTTTTGAGTGATTGAAAGTAATTTGAAAAAGGCATCCAAGTCACAAGGCTAATATGCTCTTCCTACATTCTGTTGCCTGGGGGCCCATCTCTGTTTTGGAACTTGACATGTTTTGAAGTTTGCCTGCAGGAGGTTGTCTGGGTCAGACACGCTAAGTACATTAAAAACACTCCCAACACATTCATGTGAGGTTTGACAGGACAGGTCTTGGAAAAAAATGAAAGAAAGCACTCAAATGCATATTTTAAAAATGCACACATTTTTAAAAAGGGGATTTGTGGCTGTTGCTCATCATACTTATGAGAGCCTCACACAACATGATATAATTAATAATTTAATAATGAGGTGGTTTTAATACATATAAAACATATGTTGACTAAGATGCTAAGTGCACACACATGCACTGATCTGGTAGTAATGTTAAAAATTAAACTTCACAAATTGTTTTTTGTCTGACACTACTTCTGCTTAAACTTCAGCATCATTTGTTCCTTTCAAAGCCATCAATAATCAAATGGTGATGGAAATGGATTACTATAATAACATGACTTAAAACATGTTTACATAGCACGTGTTCAGTGTCCTAGCTCATAAGTGGTGGCTGCAGACAGATGAAGGTCAGCAGCAGCGTGCTAACTCATCTCGATGGAGCACAGGATTGTGTGGAGGTAGTTCTGCATCATTGAGTTTACTGCTGAGGAGGATGTGATTTCAGTGCAGACATTGCCACTCCCAATACTCATACCCCCCGGCCCTATTGTCACTTTCGTTCTCAGTCATCCTCCACCCCATCACTCTGTTGTCTCACTTGCACTAAATATTAACGCAGTCACCCTGCACTGCTGGAAATTTGTGATGATGTCAGCAACACCTCAGTGATTTTTGAATGGTTTTTTTAAACCTTTAGTTAATTGAGGACCAAATCTAAAAATCAGTAGTTCTGACACATTCCTGTGTAGTGTGACTAATTCCAGTTTTGTAACAGTATACTGAGAATTGTGAAACTCTTCTGATTTAGGAGGCTTTATCAACTGGTTATCCTTTATTTCACTGGGTGGTCTTTCTTCGCAGAGAAGCCTGTTTACAGCTCTCTGCGCTGTAGATTACTGACGAGCATGACTCAATGCTGATTCGCTCTGTTCATTACAATCCACAGAATTGCATCCCCATGGAACAAACAGGTTGAGTCAGGTCCTCTGAGTCAGACCACTGCCCGCCTCTTCTCTCTCAGACGATGACCGGGAAAAACAAAAAGAAAAACACCCCCGCGCCCCCTTTGGTTTTGTACGTTGCTCAAGAGATTTTCTCATAAGTCACCTGCACACTCACTGGGTTCAGCTCATTCAGAAAAGTCAGGATAAAGCCTCTTAACTTTGAGTTTTCTTTTTTGAACTTTTTTCAGCTGCCTACATCCCTCTCCCCTTATAGTTGGGAAGCAGTCCAAATACTTTTGTTTCTGCACCACGGCTACAGCTGCTCTGCACACTCACAACCCCCCAAGCCCTTTGTGCTTTTGACCCTATTGACCTAAGGTTCCCACCGTGGCTCCTGTAAACTCCTACACTCTCAGCAGCGAGGAGAGAAAAACACAACAGCAGTGTCTGTCACTGTTGAGTGGTCATAAAGACGTTAGCTGAAACGGTTTAGAAATTCACCGTTACTAATCATTAACCCCTGAAGATTTGCCTATTTATAACTTTGCCTATTTATAACTTAATGTTTACGATAAGTATTGCAGTGTGACTCCCAGTTATATACAAAACTATTATTTGATGGCAACACTATTTACCTGAAGAAGTATAGAAAGAATTTGTAAGCAACAAGGTGAAGCTGCCTTTGTTTCAGTAAAAAATATGACAGCAATGCCAGTGTTTCGAGAAATGCTTTTTGACAGCTCAGTTTTCTCCTCAGTGTCAATGCCTTTTTTCTCCACCATCCACAGCTCAAGGCTTTTCCATTCCACTTCTGTTTGTGACAGCCTCAATACGACCTGCCATTTCTTTTCAGACGGTGCAGAACATGTCTCCGCCATCTGTCAGTCGCACACTGACATACAAATCCTGCTTCTCTTCAGTCTTTAGTGGTGTATTCCTGCAGAATACTTGGCAGGGATATAAAGTGTGTTTGTGTGTGTGTGAGGGATCTCTCACCGTGGTGACAGCACTTGTTAGCAGTTGGATGGCACAGAGTGAAATGGAATTCTGGGAGCTGTCCTCTGCTCTCTCTCTGGCACAGAGGAATGAAGGTTGGGAAATGGATACTGCTATCAGCAGAGCACACGTATTACTCTCTCACACAGAGAGAAGCATAGAAAAACTGGAAACCAGACACGGGAGTGCAAAGAATTGTGTTGCGTGAATCATGTGTTCAGTCTTTCTTTAAAGGTCACCAGATTTTTACAGTGGTGTACGGAAGTCTTGTTTTACCTTAAAACAAATGGACAAAGAGTGAATTGTTCTAATAACGCTCGTATAAATCTAAAAAGGAGTCCTCCAAGTCATGGAAAACAACTTTCACACTCACATCTTAGCTTTTAAAGTTTTATAAACAAATGAAACTGATTCATAAGTGTTATTTTCTGCTACGTTCTTACTAGTTTTTTGTTTACATTAACTTCTGAAACTGATTCATAAGTGTTATTTTCTACTACGTTCTTACTACCTCTTTGTGTACATTACCTTAAAATCTCTTAATATCTGACAGTAGGAAGGATTTGTATACAAATGTGACAGAGTTTTAGAAGTTATACTTACTTCCTGTGCTCAGACATGTTACTGTAGAAATGCTTTCTCAAGGTTATAATATATCCAGGAAGTCGTTAGACCTAAAAAAAATCTTAAGGGTTGCATAAGAAAAAATGTCCAGTAGATTGCTGGAAAATAACCCAATATGCAGATAATAATTATATACATAGATAACTGAAGGAGATCATGTTTAAACCACTTTATTTCACATCATTTCACATGTTGTCTGTCAATCTGAACCTCCCTTCCTCTCTTTCTCTCTCTCTTGCCCTCTCTTTTGTTGCACAGATGTTCCTGACAGTATACCTCAGTAACAATGACCAGCATTTTACTGAGGTTCCAGTCACTCCAGACACTCTGTGCAGAGATGTGGTGGAGTTGTGCAAAGAGCCCGGGGAGATGGACTGTCACCTGTCTGAGATGTGGCGCGGTTCTGGTGAGTGTCGTCAGCACTATATCCAGTGTGAACAGTCTGCACAACAGACAGGAGAAGAATCACATGATGTTATTCTGTGGAACTAAGATGTTTACCAAGAGACGGTTCAAATGCCTTGTCTTCGTCCGTTAGTGAGACATAAACAGCTTTTCAGACCATATGTAGATCAGCTGGGTGGTCAACTGCTTAGTGATTTCTTTTTGAAGGCTTTTGTCTCTTTGAATCTGCAATGCAAATGAAGTGGATCCATTAATCCCTGCCAAAATCACAAGCACCCTGACATCATCTACATCCCTCAGGTGGGGATGAGAGGGTGAGATTTTCCTGGTTGCCTCATTTCACTCATCTCTAAGAGATGGGGAGCATTCAGAATCCTGACTCAAGAGTTGCGCTTTGTCACCGTTTCCATGGCAATGTTGAAATAAGGGTGAATAAAGTGCCAATAATTTTATTTGAGTACTTCCTCAAGTAGCCGCTAAAAGACTGCTAGCTCCTCAGGCCCCTGCTGACTGTCGTAGAAAACAAAGCACTGCTGTTTTCATTAAATTAAGATATAAAGCTGTCATTGGCGCTTGCTGTAATTGTTAAAGGCACATTTCCATCTCAGTATGCTCCTTTCCTCCACCTGGTTCTTCACTAGAATCTAAGTTGTGTAGTGGAAATAACGGCTAATGACCAAGGGTTCCTGGTGCGACTTTGGCAGTGTTTTTGTGATAATAATTGTCGACACATCAGTTATTTCTCCTGATGCTATTTTTAGAAATCATCAAACTCACTCCTTGCGATTTTATAACATTCTTTCTATGTGCCTATTCCCCTCACCCCCATCTGCAGAGCGAGCTGTAGGGGACGGGGAGAGGATGCTGGATGTGCTCCAAAGATGGGGGCAGCACAGGGCTGAGGTGCGCTTCTTTCTGCGTCATAACCGAGCACCTGGCAGAGAGACCGGTAAGCGTACACATTTATCACGAGACACAACAACACATGTGACAGACAATCATGCAAAAGGGTTACTTTTACTTGACCTTAGTTCAGAGGTTTGGACAGAGGCTGTCTGCCAGAGAGAAAAAAACTGGCGTCAATACAATACAACAGCAGAGACAAGGGCAGCATGAGCATTGTCTGAAGGAAATAAATACCCACAACTGTATGAAATGAAAGATGTCTTCTGAACATTACCAAGTAGGACTGGGCAATGTATAGATTTTGGATGACGATATTGATATATTTTTATATATGACTTTTAAATATATATGATATTTTTCAGTTTGTTTTTTCCAGGAACAGTAAACTCCACTATTCTCTCATCTCCCAGTTGCATAACTAAACACTTTTACCCTCGTGTCCTGAGTCTGACACAGGGATTACCGACTGTTTTCTCTTCCTGTTATCTTAGTCTGCTCTTGTTTTCCCACACTGTTGGCTCAGCGCTGGTCAACAGGAAACTCATTTTGGTTTATAGTCTAGATCCACTCATATTTCAACTCATTTCCCTTGAGTTTTGGTTTTGTTTTTTTCATTTTTACAACAGTTAACTGTTGCATATGTTGAACATGTATGTTTTTACTGTATGGTCATCTGAAACTATTATGCAGGTGCTAGGGTTTTGCTCATAGGCCATTGGAACGAATATAATGAATATAACTATATTTACATACATGTGGAAACAGTGGTTTGTATTAGGGTTTAATCCAGACATCCATACATGTGGAAACAGTGGTTTGTATTGGGGTTTAATCAAGAGATCTGTGTGTCAAAAAAAGCACCTATTCAAGTAGTTTCCTAGAGAAGCAGAGATCCACACCCACCTCTGAAACCCCAGAAAAACTCCTGATTCCTACCTGTGTCTGCATTTGCAGATGGGATGAAGTTCCAGTTCATTTTCACAGCGATCTGTAAAGGTCACAAATTTGCTCAGCTTGCTGTTTTAGTCAGTCTGAGAATGTTGCCCTTGAAGAAACTCGACAATGGATTGTGATTTCTCATGTATTGTCTGGGCTTGTTTATGCAGGAGGCTCAAGAGGCATGGAGCCAAAAAGAAATGGAATGAAAGGCCCCCAAGACAGGAGGATGGAGAATGGGGTAAGATTCTATATTTGAATAATGTTTCTGATCACCATTACACATGTTTTGTTTTTTGGAATATTTTAGAACTTAAAAGCTCTGTTTTTACAGTACATTGAATTATATTTGGGTGCTATACTATAAATAATGTGATCATTAATAATCAAATTTTTTTCAGCCTGATACATTTTTGCGCATAAATAACATTTAGGATATGGGGAAAACATTGCATCAAAGTACATACATACATACCTTATTTGATATAAAAAAAAAAAGTCCAAGACCTAATTTGTGCAAGTACTGAAGCCCTTGTCCTTCTATTCAAATCTGTCCAGGTGGGCACACCAAGGATGGACATGACACTGGCTGAGCTTCAAGAGATGGCAGCCAGACAGCAGCAGCAGATTGAAGCTCAACAACAGCTCCTTGCGTCCAAGGTGAATAAAAGACAAAGTGCAGAAAAAGAGACAGGAAAGGTAGTATCGACATCATTGGATTAGAGGATGGGTATAAAAGTGAAAGCAGGAGAGTGCAGTGAAAATTGTAGGGAAGGTTATTTAGGGGCAGAGTAGTGGGGGTTAGAGATGGAACGTAAACAAAGGCACTAAAACGCCTCTGTTTCACTTGCTAAAATAAGATGATACTCACAGGCTAGAAAGAAGAGCTTTGTACTGCTAAGATGTGAAACTACTTGTCAATGGCTGCAGGGATCTAGTATCACTCTGCACTGTAGACAAGGGATTTAGGCAGAAAAAATATTAAATTAACACTTGGCTCACCATTTTCCTCCTGCTCTTGTTTTTGGATCTTACTTCTACTTGATAAAACAGGCGTATGTGCTGTATTGAAGCCCTTAAAGAACATCACGTTTACCTTTGCTAATGTTTCACACCCTAACTTTGTCCTGCAGGCAAGAGCTTGTGTTGTCAAACCACTTGTGCAGTTACTTTTTATACCTGTGGGTATGACTGTGTGCCAAGGGAATGTAACCTCCAGCAATCAGTGTTCACCTGCACGAGTACAGCAAATAAACAGGCACGGACATCAGCACACATGCCCTAAAGAAAGGATGAAATAATGTTTCAATCGATTTCAAAGTAAACTGCTACAGGGTTTTGGAAGTAGTAAGCTTCACTTGTTCACCCAGCCCATAATGATTCCCCATTTTGTATTAAATGCCCTGCATTAAGTCGCATGGAAGTAGCAGCTAAGGAATAATTACAGACAGAGAGGGGACAGAAAATTGTAAGGTGATTTTAATCATGCTGCTGTTCACAGGAACAGCGACTGCGCTACTTGAAGCAGCAAGAACAGCGTCAGCAGCAGCAGGCCTCCGAGCAGGAGAAGTTGCAACGCCTTCGGGAAAACATCGAGAACCAAGAGACCCGGCTCAAGAAGGTCCGGGCCCTCAAGGGCCAGGTGGAGCAGAAACGCGTCAGCAATGGAAAATTAGGTTGGTGTATGAGTTGGAGAGTAAATGGTTGGATTTTGAGTTTCCTCTTACATCTCTTTTGTCTACCCATCGGTGCTTATCCCTCTTGAAACGTGGTTCAGTGGAGGAGATAGAACAGATGAACAACCTGTTCCAGCAGAAGCAGAGGGAACTAGTGATGGCCGCATCCAAGGTGGAGGATCTCAGTCGACAACTGGAGATTCTCAAAAATGGAAAAATGGACAACTTCCACGACAGTCAGGGCTCTGTGGCTGAACTAGATCGCCTTTACAAGGAGCTGCAAGTATGAGATTCTTTTTTTTTTTTTTTTTTTTTTTTTTTAACAAAGATTGGCCACAGAATGCCTATATTGAACTCTCTTAGTCAAATACTCGCTCTTTCTTGGTGTTTAGGTAAGGAACAAGCTTAACCAGGAACAAAACTCCAAGCTGCAGCAGCAGAGAGATAGCTTGAACAAGCGAAACCTGGAGGTGGTAGCCATGGACAAACGAATCAGTGAGCTGCGGGATCGGCTGTCAAAGAAAAAGGCAGCGTTGCAGCAAAAGGAAAATGTGCCTGTAAGTATCATCAACCACAGACACATAAACTGACACATGATACCCACAGGAACCCTGAAAAGCAAGTAATGCAGTGTCATGACAAGAACAAAATGTCATTACAGAGACATTCATAGCTGTTTAGGGTGAGGGGGATGGTTTTGATTGAAGCTGCACTCCCAGGGCTTACGATTATATTTAGAAAAAAATCATATATCCATATTTTGTGTATGTTTAGGAATGTCTGCACCATTTTGTCAAACCATGGACACCTGTCTTTTTTTATTTTTTATTATTTGATCCCTCTCACTGAGATTCCTGATGGAGGATTGGTCTTTGGTCGGATTGTGTTACACAGCTGTGCTTGCTCTTTTCTTCTTTTTTTTTTTTTGGATCCATTCTGCTGCGTGCTTAGTTCTATTTGGCACAAACAACTGCTGAAGATCAGTGGGTGGTAATGACTGGGACATTGCAGACGGACAGGAATGTCAGAGGAGATGCTATCTGCTTCGGCTGCTCTCGTGACAGAAACAGGAAGGTGCTAATCATTGGTTAACCAGAGATAAACAAGCATCTTTCAAACAACTGTGTTTGATGAACAAGTTTCAAAGTGAAAAAGATGAAAGTGGGATTAAACACAGAAGAAATCACGTTAATATGTGAAGGGACTGATAAAGGAAGTTAAGGACCTCCACTTGTGATGAATGCCCTTTTACTCACTGAACATCAGAAAACACAATGGACAGGGAGAACAAAGATTAATGAGACTAAAATGATGGATGATGATTATGATAAACACTATAAATTATCCACCAGCCTTAACACTGATTCAGTGATGGATAACTTTGTTTTTGCCTGTCTCACCTTCAGTGGGTCATCTTCATCATTTCCAGCAAATTTCTTATTAAATTGGTATGTGATTATTGTTGTTCTTATTACCTTGCTATTTTCTTTATAGAATGCAAATTAGTTAACAGGTAAAAATCATCGTTAAAATGATTTGACACACTCCGTCAAAGGACTTTTTACTTTTTGTACTTGCATCCACGGTACATACCCTCCCTCCCCTGCAGGGGGTGCCACAATCAGTCTTTTTCCAAAAAGTCAGTTTTATTTCTTTTGATTCAGTTCAAATGTTATGAAAAATGTCAGTTCAGCTACATCATCGGATGTGAGAATTACACCTAATGACATCCACGTCTGAGGCAGCAGTCAGCGTGTGTGATGGAGTGGGACCAGAACAGAGAAAGCAAGTGTGCATGCATGTGTTTTAAAGATGAAGGGCTTGAATAGGTTCTAGTCAGGAGGTGATTTACCCACACTCTGCCTGGAATCATAATGAGTGGGCCTTTTTTACTTTAGTACAAAGACACGCTCCATCCAAGCTGCTCTCTCTTCCAAGCAAATGGCAACCGCCGGGCTGACATCACACCACAGCCACTTATAACCATACTGACTGAAGAGCTCTACCACTTGAGTCACCCCCTTACCGTTTTAGATGACGAGTTCAGGGGAAACAAAATAAGCCAGGCTCATACTAGCTTGGTTCAAGGGAGACTATATATTTTTGAACTGCTTTTGCATGTCTGTGCTTTTGTTTTCTCAAGAATGGCTTTCCCAGTAAAGAGCGGGCTTCAAAAGAAACTCATCTTCAGGTAATTACCATCGGAGCTGAAAATATTTGTCTTTTTATTTCCTCTGATCTTGACTTTGGACTATAATCACATAAGAGGACATTATTATTTTCTGTTTTGCTTTTGACGTTTTATAGGTCAAACTACCATATCCATCTGAGTTAGGCATGCAGGTTGACTTACTGTCAGCTGTCAGAGTGAGTTTTGTCCTGAAATTATTCTGGAAAGTCTTTAATACTGTTGGGAGGTTTGGAAATTCTTAAGGAATTACTTGAAAAATCTACAGATTGACCTCAAATGTGTATTATATATTCTTTACTCAGTATCTGAATAATATAAAAGGCAGAGCTCAGCAGATGGTGGTGAGTTGACGGCTGATTGTATTGATACCAACTTACACACACTTCCCAATAACAATGAATTGTAATTGTAACCACTTTTGTCTTATCAGCAGGTCTGAATGCTTGAGTCCTTTATTACTGTAATATAATGTCCAACACCACCCACAGGTCAGAAAATTTAAGAACTTAGCTCCAATGTTGTCTACAAAGACTTTTTGTTTTTGTTTGTTAAAACACAATAATTATAAGTTCTCATATGATGTGAATAGGGTGAAGTTCCAATGACAAATATGTAGGTCAACGGTTATCTATCTTATCCTTATGAGCAGCTGTTCATTTATGACTTCTTTGGAAATGCTTTATGCCAAATATGCCACAGTGACTGATTTAAAAAAAAAAGAAAAGAAAAAAGCTTTGGCCGCCAAAGGATTTGAGTGAATGAAAATTGAGAGTGAATTTTCAAACTAAGGCTGCACTTTTCTCTTTTTTTGTTGCTTCTGTCATGGACTTATGTGGGGGTGGTGTTAGGTCTATGGTGAATCTATGATTAACGTTTGTGTAGTTTGATGAACGTCAGCCACAGCCCTGATATAAAAGGACCGTCTGTCATTTCACTCACAGTCACTGGGTGTAAGCCACATCCCATAAAGCCTAAAAATCCAACGTATGGTATCAGAGCACTGTTCACCTGGTGACCCAACATCTCAGCATCACCACTCTCTGATTTAATTCACCTCCTTATGCCAGACTCTGTCTTTCTTTTTGGTAATTTCATCACTGACTTTATCCAAATAAACTTCTGCTCTTCTTCCATTTCTTTGCTCTTCTCTTTCACTGAACAGCAGCCCTCTGATGGCCAAGCCGGACAGCAGACGGGTCCATCTCGTGTGGCAGCGGTCGGCCCATACATACAGTCGTCCACCATGCCCCGGGGCCCAATGAGACACGAGCTGCTTGTGAAACCAGCCTACCCTGACGGCACTGCCACGCTGCCTTCCCACGACCCACAGAGCAAGGCTAGCGCAGGTGATTAAGCTGTTACAAGTGTTCTTTTTTTTTACTAGATTTTTAGGTGATTAAAAAGAACACTTGTAACAACAAGTGTTCTTTTTTTTACTAGATTTTGCTACTAAAAAAGTACTTCCCAAAAATCCTATTATAAATAATTAGCAGCATCTGTATGGAAAACAACAGCAGAGACTTCCTAACTTCTGGGAATCCTCTGCAGCTGTGATCTGTGTTTCTTGTTTATTATTCTGGAGCTGGTTTCTTTTTTTGAAATGTAAAAAAGTCCTTCTCGCCACCAGCAGGGGCAGAAGAGTCTCGGTTGCCAGCTGGTTGTGATGTCACTCTGAGCTCAGAAGGTAGCTTAAGTACTATGTGTTGTGACTCAGGTTTAGTCAGCCTGAAGTTCCAAGTCTTTTGCATCGTTTCCACTTTCTCTAAACTTGTGGTATTTACTGTAGTGAGTGACCTACTTTCTCCTCCAGATTTATTTTATTTTCCTTTTTTGCAGTGGTTTGTTTTCTTCACACTAATCTAACACTATCCTTGGCAAGAGTTATTGACACAGGGGATGTTATTATATATTCCAACATCGCTTTTCCCTAACGTGATTTCAAATGTGCTATTAAAAACACTTGAAATTAATAGAATTTTTCACTAAAATGAAAAAACATCCAACAACATCCTGGTATGTTTTAGTGTGCACTGAAATGAAAGAAAAATAGTCAGGATTTACCAATAAATGAAAAGAAATTTGTCACATAATAAAGACAGGTTTGATTCTTAAATATTCTTTCTTTATTATTATCCCCTTGAATCCAGATTTAAAAGAAACTTTTTGTGTTTTGTGTTTCCATCTGTGATGTGGTTGCACTCAATTTTGTTTTGCATGCTAACTTGATGTGCAGTGTGTGGATGTCGGAACGGGAGGTGCAGAGAAACTGCTCATTCCTAGTTTTCTCCACAATGAGAACATTTTGCATAGAACAAGACAGGAACCTCCTGGGGAATGTGGCAGAATCTGTGTGGTCTCGTTTGTGGGTCCACGTGTAGAACAATTCAACTTGTCTACAGCTGCTTCATTTTTGTTTTTCCTCATTTTAATGCATCTACCTCAGAAGCCATATTCTTGCTTAAGCCTCTGAAAGAGCTGCGGGCGAAGAGAAAAGGTACACACTAGTGTTTCTGTGTGTTCATGAATGGCACTCAGCAGTCTTGTTTTTCTTTCTGTGAGAGGAAAAAGATCCACTGATTACATATTTGTCATATTTCCACTATGGATTGCTGTTGCGTGTGTGTGTGTACGTGTTTTTGTTCTTCTTCTGTGTTAATATAGGTTTCTCTTTTTTACTGCTGCTCTTAAATGGGTCAGTTGGAGAGAAAAAAAAAAGTGACGTGCAGTGTAACATCTCACCAAACCAGTCGGGTCTTGTTCAGAAACGTGTGTACGATGATGCACAAGAGCTCTGTTTGAAACACACAAAGTATGACATGGAACCAAACTGTGGTATCACAGTATCTATAAACTTATAAAGCACTACCTAAAACCTTTTAGCATCGTAGCACAAGCTTGATGTGCAGTTATGTCCAGATTAATTGAAGAACACAGCATTTTCCACTGTCTTTATTGATTCTGCTAACTGTTTAATTCTTTGTTGCCTTTACCTTTACTCCTCAGGTATTCATCCCTCCAGGCTGCCAGACTGGGGATCTTCAGGTATGGACTCCAACACCAACGGTCACGGTTCTGCTTCCACACTGCCACGAATGAACTCCCACGCCAACGCTAACTCTGAGAATGGTAAGAGACTATGGGTCTAAGACAATATCAATACACTGAAATATTGTGATATTTTGTTCCACAATATATTGCTATTATTGCTCTTCTACACCACTGTATTAATTTACCTACAATTAAATTGTTTTAAATCATATCACCACCTGTATCATATCACCAGATTCTTGCCACACACCCCTATAGAGACCCCTTAACATTGCATACTGTACATGTGGTTCGTTGTAACCCAAAGTTCAGTATATTTGTAGATGCTGCAGCAACACTTCAATCATACTAACTCTTCTTTAAATCTGCCCCTTGTAAATAAGTAGATGACGCAGAACTGAAGAGAGACCGGAAAGTACGTCCATTTTCCATGTTTGAGCCAACAGAAGCTCCTGCTACCTCTCTCCGGAAAAACCAGAGCAGCGATGACTTGGTCCGCGATGCTCAGGTGAGAATTGCCAAAACTCTCATGAACAATTTTGATCTTATTCCTTTATCATCCCACTCAGGTCAGTGCATATTTTCCTTTACAACTGTTGTTTCTCATTTGCAGGCTGCTCCCAAGGCCCCAGTGAAAGTGCCTCCTCCCGTCCCCACCAAACCAAAAGGCCCAGGTGTTGTACCCTACGGTAAACCAGGCCTCAACACCGGCACTTTCCCCAAAGCCAAGTCTCACAGCCAGCAGCCCCAGGTATCGCAGAACCGCAGCACAATGACTGCGTCACAGAGTCAGACACTTCCTCTGCCTAATAAGCAGGACACTCCTCCAGCAGCCACCGTACGACCGTTCACCCCCGAGCTGCCCTCCTCCAAAGATCCCAGCCTAAGTAAACCTCAGACTTTGGCAGCCAGCTCCATATACTCCATGTACACTCAGCAGCCCGGAGCAGGCAAACCCTTCCAGTCCAATCTGCACGGCGTCATCAACAGAGCCCAGAACCGCAACAACGGATTTGCCAGTGGTAAGAACGTGTCACTGTAACATGTTCCTTTCAACGCAAGGACACTCTGCACATCACAGGCCTTGATAATAACAGGCTGATATCATCTATAGTTACCATAGTAAGGGATTCACATCTTAGACAGGATATCTACAGTTACATTTCACTACATTTGTGAGATGAATTCTGCACATCACAGGCCTTGATAATAACTATATCTACAGTTACATTTCACTACTAAAATCTGCTGTTAGTTTTGTCAGATAGACTTTTCCCACTGAGAAAACATTCACACATCGGTGACCAGAGCAGCAGGAGCCACGGAGACTGGACCATCTGTTACATCTTACTTTTAGAGAGACAAACATATTAACTCCTCATGACTGAACTTCTATTGTCTGCAGGCAACGAACTCCTGCTGGTGTCTCTATATGTGGATTAATGTGGTGTTTTCTTGAATAATTTTCAATTTGCCGTATGATCCAATTTTAAGGCCATCTGAAATTATGGTTCACACATTTAACACTAGCACTAAGACAATCCCCTTTAAAATTTCAGAAACAAAAACTAAATCTGTCGTTGAAATTGACCAATGATTACTCTGCTTTAATTCTAAACAGTTGTTACACTTGTTTGCTGTCTTTGTTTCTAGTGTACGGAAAGCCAGTATTTCCCAGTGGAATCTCCCAGTATCCAGAGAATCCGTACCAGGACAGACGATCTCCTGCCTTCGACGAGGTGGATCACAGCGGAGCTAACAATGTTGGTCCAAGCCCGTCTGAGGGCCCCCAACCAGAAACTGAGCGCATCCCCCGGCCCCTCAGCCCCACCAAGCTTCTGCCCTTCATTTCAAACCCATACAGGCACCAGAGTGAGAGTGACCTGGAGGCATTGAGAAAGAAACTGTATAACGCACCAAGACCCCTGAAGAAGCGCAGCTCCATCACAGAGCCTGAAGGGCCCGCGGGGCCCAACATTCAGAAACTCCTCTATCAGAAGACCACGTTGGCAGCCATGGAGACCACTGTCGGTACACCGTCCACTCCAAACTTTGTTGGTGAGCCAGAGAGAACAGCAGAGGGTTCTGCAGAGCCACAGGTTCCCGGCTCACTAAGTGGTGCAGAGGACCAGCCGTCAGAGACGGGACAGGCTCCAGAAGCAGGACCTCCACTGTCTTACGTCCCGAGTCCTAACGTTCCAGTTCCTGCTCATACCGAACAGAACAAAACGCCATCGGCCATCCCACAGGCCGAGGACATTATACCCCCTCCTCCACCCTCCCACCCAGCTCCCAGGCCAGACGATGGTAATTTCCCACCACCCCCTCCACTGCCACCTGCGGGCTTGGAAGACACAATGTCCAACCTCCCTCCTCCACCTCCAGAGGGCTTCATGGAGGAGTTCCCTCCTTACCCTCCTCCCCCGTACCCCAGTGGAGCGGAGCAGGAGATTTTGGGAGAGGATCCCTTTTACATGAAGGCACCAGAGGTCACGGGCCAGGTCACACTTCCACCGGTAAGTCGATGTTGTGTTGTTGCTGATTGTCAGTTCTTACATGTTGTCACATGTCATGGACGCTGTTCTCCTGGTAGATTATTCTTGTGTTCTTCTTAAAACCCTTCACATGTTCCAGCGAGGGGCGAATCATGAGTTTCAGATGTGTATTAGTGAGCGCGTTCAGCAGTGACCTGCTCTGATGTTATATAATTAATGATCCTCATCAAGTACGGCTTTTGTTTCTGCAGAAAGCGGCCTTATTCTGCCAGCACTAAGTGGCTGCCCGCCCTACTTTCTCACATTAACTTGAAGGCAATCTGCACCGAAAATAAACACTATTCAGACTTTTCTTGTTGTTGTTTAGCTGTTAAGTGCAGCACATTAGGCACCTAAATGGGTTAGTCCAAAAGTTTCACATATAGCTCATTTACATTAAAATGGTCTTGTGTGCCCACGGTGCTATAAGCAGAGTGAAACAGCCAGGAAAAGTATTTTAACTCTTTCATCTGTGTTTTACTGCACACAGAATCCTGAACAGCAGAAGATTTGACCAAATCTCTCCAATAAATATAAAGAGAGAAAAATTATTTACTTTTTCATTTATTTATTGAACATTATTAATCTGCTGATATGCTCTGGTATTGGGCCAAGTTAGCAGTTTATATAATCTGTATTTATCCTACTTAGTACTAGAACCACCAGTGTGTACAGTCATGGTTTCAGAAAATACTTTCTTAACAGTGTGTGCTGCTGAAAGGTGGATTATCTCCGTGCTCTGAGTCTGACAAACACTTTTCCTGCTTTCAGTTCAGGTTGAACTTGACTTAAAGTGGACGTTTGTGCTGAATGAAAAGGAGTTTTGGCAAATGTTTGGAGTTTATTCTGAGCTCTTTTTTTTCATTTTAGAAAGTATAACTTGATTTACATATTTTTGTTGTGTTTTCAGGGTAAGAGGACCAACTTACGTAAGATTGGGTCTGAACGGATAGATCACAGCATGAGGGTGAAGTTCAATCCACTGGCTCTACTGCTGGACTCTTCTCTGGAGGGAGAGTTTGACCTGGTTCAGAGAATCATTTATGAAGTAAGCCATGTTTTTGTGTCAGCTCTTATACTCAACAATGAGCTACAGTTAAGAAATTCTATATAAAACGTCTAGTTATTAGAACTGAATTCAAAGTTTTGATTGAGCTTTATGGTATTTCTCCATCCCAGGTGGAGGACCCTAGTCAACCCAACGACGAAGGCATAACAGCTCTTCACAACGCAGTCTGTGCTGGACACACAGAGATTGTCAAATTCCTGGTCCAGTTTGGTGTCAATGTCAATGCTGCGGACAGTGACGGCTGGTAAGTTGAATTTCAGCTCCATCATCTCTTGTCTTTTTAGCTGTGTCTACAAACATCTGAACATTGTGTTCTCTCCTCATCTTTTTTATTCTTCATCTGTTATCATTTCACACAGGACACCACTCCACTGCGCTGCATCCTGCAACAATGTCCAGGTGTGCAAGTTTCTCGTTGAGTCTGGCGCCGCAGTGTTCGCCATGACCTACAGCGACATGCAGACAGCAGCTGATAAATGTGAAGAGATGGAGGAGGGCTACACCCAGTGCTCTCAGTTCCTCTACGGTGAGTGGGATCAGGGATCAGAGATCAAGATCTGTTCTTAAAAGATTGGCATTTTAATTCTTGGTTCTGTTGCTTTTTGTCTTTTTAACCTCAGGGGTTCAAGAGAAGATGGGCATCATGAACAGGGGCGTGGTCTACGGTCTGTGGGACTACAGTGCAGGAAACCTGGACGAGCTGTCCTTCAGCGAAGGAGACAGCATGACCATCGTACGCAGAGAAGATGAGGAAGAGATCGATTGGTGGTGGGCGAGAATGGCCGACACCGAGGGTTACATCCCTCGCAACCTCCTAGGGGTGAGTGCTGAGTCACCCAAGAAGTAAAATGTATTAATGATCATGCAAAAACTTCATTCCAGAAACTTTCATCGTAACACTTTTTTCTCCCCCCTCAGCTCTATCCCAGAATAAAACCAAGGCAGAGAAGCCTGGCTTAAACACAACCAACTGTGTACATTCCAGTCTGCCAGTACACACACACACACATACACACACATACACAAAGAAGAGAAAAGGACTCTGCTGAACTGAAGAGATACAGGCAGACCGGAGAAAATGAAGGATCATCTTCGTGGCACTTTTCTAAATCTACAACAGAGAAACTCTCACATATTTTTTCAGACATGTTTCTTTTTCTTTTTTTCCACTGTTTTTGTATTTCCTTCGACATCTATTTTTTCTGAGCTTACTGTAAAAAAAATCACATGTAAATGGAACAAGCAGTATTTTTATTCCTAGAAAAGTAATTTTTACACTTTAGATTCATTCTTTATTGTAGCTATCACAGTTTGTTCTTTGCATTGCAGGTGTAGTTGATAACGATGGTGACGATATTTTTTTAATATAATGATGTCACCATGACAATCTAACGAGGCCTGTTTGTCATTGTCCGCTCCGAGTGATTGTGCCTCTGTAAAACAGCCTGCACTGGAGCTGAGCTATGACGTCTCTGCTGTGACCACCAACAAACTAAAAACGTGTTTTTTAATCATTGCTGTTCAGTCTGTGGTCAATGAAAATCTGTTCTATGTACTCCTTTGTACGAGAACATGGTAGAGATGCCATATTTACCACATATACCATGTATTTCTGTGACACAAACTAGTAACAATTTACTGTAGTAATGATAATAATATGAAAATGGACTTTAAACATGAAGGAAATGCCATCCAGTATAGTTGTTTTTCACTACAGCCATTTTCCATGGCTATGCAGTCACGGGAAAAGGCAAACTCTATACCGGAAAGATTGTTTTTTTGTGTGTGTGTGTAATCATTTAAATATGTCACATCACATTATAAAATCACAACATGTCTTAAGTCAAACTGTTTCTTAAAAAATGAAAGATGAATTTTATGTTCTTCACATTCCTAAAAATCATCTTGTCACATATTTCTGTCAATGCAGATGTATTTATTCTTATTTTTATTTTTGTCCTTCTGTCATAAATGTATTCCAAATGTACTGTAGCATTTTAAACATTGACAATAAAATACTTTGTACTATGTTTTTGTCGCCCTGCACTTTCTTAGTCTGTCAAGTCAGAATCACAAGTGTAATCACACAGACGATATCTCCAATATTTGTTGTTATGCTATATTTGGTGCCCTCTGGTGGATAAAAGTTGTAGCTGTCATCTATATTAGGAAATTAATTCTCAATAAAGATTACTATAATCATTATAATAAGTCTCCAGAACAGAGACATTTTATGTTGCATGGAAAACCAGAACACTTATCTATAAGTTCGGGCCATTGTATTAATTTGGAGTATTAATCAAATGTCCTTGATTGAAATGATGTAGATACACATTGTTATTGGAGGAAAAGGTAATAAATTATAAAAAAATAATTTCCTACAGTCTGAATAAAAGAGATCTAAACCTTTTCAAAATATCCCATGAATTACAGGATGGTTGCAAATGTTGTGTAGATGCCTGTTAATTTAATAGCACAAAGAAAAGCACTGTCAGCCTTCGGCATTGTGGTTGTGACTAGCTGCATTGAACTCTGCAGAGCACCGAGGACACAAACTACACAAAATCCCTGCTGAGTTTGTGTAAAATTGTTGGACTATTTTCTCCATCATCACGTCTGTACCCACTGACTGACTGCATAATTGATGCAAACATTCATAATGCAGTAAAATTGGTTTTTAATGGAAAAACATAATCTAGAAAGAGAGAAACATGAGGGGCTGCTGTTGCTGCTCTTTCTCACTCACGGCTGATCTCTTCTGCTCCAGCAGTTGTTTTAATTTTTAGCAACAGTGTGCAGAGACACACGGGGCATACAAGCATAGCTATAAACCTCATCTATGCTTTTGCTGCTGCCTTGTATAAATATAGCCCCTCTGGGCTTGTGTTTGTGTATCTCTGGGGAAGGAAACACGGGAGAGAATGATGGGATCAGGTTTCCACACAGGCACCTTCCTTCATTAAATGCTGACCTCCTGTCCACATAACAACTGCATTCACTGCAATTTGAAATGGTGAAAGAGTTTGATATACTGTGTGTGTATATATATATATACATTGATTATCTCTGAGCCTGTTTCCCACCCGACAGTTGCAACATGTACCCACTCCTGTCTTCTCCTTCATTGTGTCCATGTATCTTGGTGTTTTCTTTAGTTCCTCCAGCTCTTGCTACAAGATTTTTTGTTAAATATAACAATTTATCTCTCTCCTTCACATGCTCCAACCACTTGAACTTTATCTCAGGAGTTTTATCTTCAAACGTTTCACCCTTAACTGTCCCCGTCATGCTGTCTGATATCAGTACAGTGCTGTAGAGCTTTTGTGCCTTTATCAACTGGTCTTAAAAAAACCCAAAACATTTGTAAACATTTTGTGAGAACATTACTCCTTTTGTCTTTATATACTGAGCCTAATTTTGAACACTCACCGAAACATTAATGTGTCCAGAATCAAGAAATTTATGTTTTTCTACCCTGAACGTAGAAAGTGCATTTATTGAATATATTTAACATCTAATTGTGTATATTATACACCGTATAAATACACTACCTTTACCGCACCTCAATTCTGTTTTCTGGATCCTTGGAATTTGGTGAAATTGTTTTTTGTTTTTTTGTTTTGTTTTGTGGCTAACGGCAGTGTGACACACTTGTATACAGGGACTCTGTACAGGAACTTAAATTTAATCTATTCGTGCAGGTTTTGTTATGTTTTAATACTAATATTTACACCTATTTGCGAAGCTTTACATGTGAGATACATCGTTCAACCGCTAGGTGTCAGTAAAGGGCCAGCAGGCAGTGCTGGACAAGACAGGTTGGTGTTCACCTTCATTCACTGATCGGAGTATTTCTGTGCAGGAGCGAATAGTTTCACCTGAGGAAAAACGGAAGAAGCGTCGCTGGATTGATAAAGGAGAACCAACTGGCTCGGTGTCTAAACAAGATAACGAGTAAGGAGTGAAGGCTGGAGGAGGAGCAGCAGGAGTAGGAGGTGGTGACAACACCACCTGTGACGAGTCGAGCTTAGAGCAGCTCATACACACTGAAGCCTCAGCTATTTTCTGCTGCTCCATTTCTGTGTTTGACAGAAAAGTGTGTGTCGCCTGCGTGTGTGGATTTGGTCAAAGTCCACTCGGATTTATCCTGAACTGAAGGAAACCTCAGATTTCTTATCTTCGAGGAAATTGTTCGTGTTTCAGGTAAGAAACAAAGACCGGCAGCACACGACATCACTGCAGAAACAACACTGTTTAAAAGTGACTTCATTTCAGGATTTCTACTATCTTTTTATGCACTTTCATTTGGATATTTGAAAAAAATTGTTGATTGCAACTATTTTCTCTATTAAATGTAAAAAAAAAAAACCCGCAATGGAATGTCTATGGTTGTTTCCTAAACACTAATACAAAATGTTTTTCATTGTCAGAAATTATAACGTATAAATTACATTTGAAATACATTACATAAACATTACATACGGTAAAAGACTGCAGTATAGATAGAAATAAACAGATAAAATAGATAGATATAAAATAGAAGATATATAATAATCTATTCCAAAACACTCCATAACCCAAATTATATTAGATGAACATGTGACCATTTAAAAGGTGTCAGATTGAGGCTTCTTGAATGTCAAATGCTGCTCTATTTAAGACCAATGGACTAACAAATAATGACAAAAACAATTCTTTGTGTTAAAAAAAGATCATTAGATTCAATTTAACACTGTTGTTTTTAAAAACACTAGTGTCCACAGGTAACAAAAGAGAGTAGGGGATACATATTAGCTGCAAAGCATTCCTATAATAATATTGTATTGGTATTATTAATAACAAAACAGGCATTTAATCAGTTTAAAGTTCATAATGAGATCATCATTATGAGTTCTTATCAGTTGTTGTTACTTGGGCTTGACTATATTCCAAACTCCTGCGAAAAACAAAAGTCATTGCTTCAGCAAGACACGTGTGTCTTTCTGGCGTTAGTCGTGTTTTAACTTGTGCAACGTTTATTTTAAAAATTGATTTACTCAGGTCTCAAACTGCAAACTCGACAGGTCACAAGGGGAGCTTTGCTGCGGACGAGATTTAAAGTGAGAAAAGCCTAGCCATGATTGAATGAATGGGCTTCGAACTCAGACGGTGATGATGCTCCGAATGTTTCAGTGGAATGATTGATCTGTTAAATATGGGCACATGGTCTTCTCGTCTGACCTTGATGTAATCAATACTCCTCATTCATTGACTCAGGAGTCTGGTGAAACCCAGTCGGCTCTCGGTTGTGTGTTCAGCCGTTAAAAATGCATGACTTTGTGCTATGGCATTTAGAATGAAAGGCATCTAACATGTGTAAATATGTGGTCAGTTAACCAGGGATCTGTTCTTATGTATGTTGACAGTAGTTGTTGGTGTTTTCTTTCTTTGTGACCTGTCATTCAGAGAGCACAGCGGCTGCTTTTACAGCTAGCTCCCAGTCATGTTATGGATGGAGACACTTTACACATTACAGTATTCTGTTGCATCTGTCAGGAAGAAACACCAGGAGGAGTTTCATCTTTATATCAGTAAAAAAAAATCAGTGTACAAATACACTGAAAAGGTTTTGCAATTGTGTCCAAAATTGCACAACTTGTTCTGTAAAGTAAGTTTTTACTGGGTTTGTTTGTACCTCTGTTTGTCAGTAGTATATAATTTGCTGTTATTTTTGTCTACTTTGTAGAACGGAGCTCTGCTGGATAATGTTTCTCCTGCTGCTCCTACCTGCTGTTTCCTTTGTTTAACTCACAGGGTTTCTTTGAGTGAGAATTTCTCTAAAGTCAGACTGTGACGCCAATTTGAGGAGAAAATTTGACAAGTTTGAATTATATTTTTGAAGATTTATTTTGCAAAATCTGAGAAAACCTCTTCTGATTTTTGTAGTTTCAAACTATAATTTTTTGGCATTTTTGGATATGACTAGAGCAGGAAGATGGAAAAGGCTTTGTAATGTAGTTGTCTTGATATCTTTATCTTCATTCGTCTACTTCGTGGTACAGACTGGTGTCACCAATACTTCAGTAGGTTGAGTTTCCATAAATATGCCATGAACTGGAAGGTAGAGTTATACTGGTGGCAGAGCTTTGTAACTCTAGTCAAACCACAGTGAAGACACCAAGCAGAGCAATGCTAACAACCAAGTTCATTATATTCAATACAAAAGGAAAGAAATAGTAACATATTAGACAAAAAAATCCATCAAATTGACACTAGTTAATACAGTCAGATTCTGTAATAATCAATAGATAACACTTTCTGCATATTTAACACAGTCAGCTGTACAGAAGGTGAGCAGAGCTTTTGCAACACGAGACCATTTCAACTAAAAACAGTGTCTGCTTTCCAGTAAACTGGTGATCTATCGCCATGTTTAAAGTAACAAATTGATACACATCGTTATTTAAATAGGTCTCAGCAAGAAAATCACCTTGTGATGACATTTTGTGTACATTCAGATATCAGGCACATATTTCAGTAAATCAATTTAATCAGTATAAATTGAGTGATTGCAGTGTTTGTGAAGACTTAAGGCTGGTGTGATTCCAAGGCTTGTTAATTTTCACTGGTCAAAACATTTTTCCCTGCACATCAAAAACAAAGCTTTTCAGGCTGCAGATGTGGAACCATTGTTTTATTGACTTCACTCACTGTGTACTATAAGTGTAAAAACCACTGAATGCACTGTGTTGTGTTTCCTTGTTGTGTGGTGGTCATTGTGGATGGACGGTTCAGTCAGTGTGGTACAGTACTGAGAACAAACGTGGTATAGTTCGGTTTCCTTCCTCTTGTGTGTTTTTTTTTAATCACAGTGTTTTAAACGCACACAGTCACTCGGCTGGAGTCCTTCAGGACAAATGTTGTCTGTTGATGGTGCTGTCGCCACACTTCTCCTCCTCTTGTCCATTCAAGCAGGTTTATAGAGTCTCTATGATGGCCTGTTGTGGGACCAGGAGTTGGCAGAGAAGATCACAGGTTGGCACAGATCAGGGGAGATCTGGCTGTGAATGGTGGCGTCGCTCTGAGTTCCTTGGGGAATGTATTTCTGTATTTTCATCATCTTTATATTCTGTTTTCCTTGTGTTTAGACCTGTGCACTCCACAAGCAATTAACAAGAAAAGGCTCCTGTATTTACGGTGTCAACAGCTGTGAGCCAGTCGGGATCTAACGGTTTGTCGATGAAAGAGAATAAAATATACCACAGTCTTTTATTCTGAACAGCTAGATGTTCTGACGGTAATTTATGTCATCGATCACAGCGTATTCTTCCGTAACTGTGAAAGATTTGCAAGATTAAAAGTCAACACCAGGTCCACACTGGATGAACGATCTGGACCCTGTCGCTCTGTACTGTGTGAGTCGGGCATCAGTGAAGTTCACTAAGTCAACACCGACACCTTACACAAGGGATCTGTGGGGAAACAAGTTGTGCATCAACAAATAACCCGTGGTCCAAATTAGTCCGGCCCACGACTGGATTCTGAAATAGACTAATCAACTAAAAATGTGATTTTAATTTCACCTTGTTTAAATGTCTGCCCCCCAAGTTTTCTGGTTTATAAAATTCTTGGATTTTTTCCCCCATGTTCTTCGGTCAGTCAAGTTCCGTTATGCATGTAATTTTTGAAATGATGAAATCTAAACTTTGCAACTTCACATCTACAGACTGTAGTGGAAATCCCCCTCAGATGAATCTCTGTCGTCCACACCTGCTTGCTGCCATGTTTAACCCAAACAGCAGCAGCAGCAGCAGCAGCAGCAGCAGCAGCCGCCGCCGCAGCCGGCC